TTTCCATCCTGACTGTCCCCCTTCACATCTGAACGGGAGGTCGCAGGACTCAAGACGAACAGTCGTCATGACTTATATTACAACTTTCACATATGACGTTTCTGTCATCTTATTGATCGACAGGAAAGTCTAGCAGGACCTCATTTAACTTGGTCCAGCATCAGCTGGATAGAACCACCAAGCATTGGCAAGGCGTCCTGGAATGGTTATGTTTTGCAAGGATACCCATTTGTTATATGTGTCATTTATTTATTCTTAGACCGGAGTACATACCACTTAGATACCTCGAGGTTATTGGTCGCACTTGATATTTTGTGTTAATTGATATTGGCAAGCTTTGATTAACCATGATGCTCTAGTCTCGATACCGAGCGGATCGAGACCCATTCACGTATTCATATCCTGTCCTCACCCTATTCGAGGTAACGATCTCTGTCGGCGCCGTGAGTTGAGTAATTCCTCAATCGGCCATGACTCTACCAGTATACCGTTGCACCAGAGCAACTAGTCCTACCACGAGTGGAAGGGAGAGTGCCCCTGGCACTTGTGTCCAGGTCGCGAAAATGTAGCTGACAGTATTCATTATATCAGGGACGTATATACATGATGTGTCCATCCAACTCCAAGCTCTTCAGCAACATAAAGCAAGTGTGAGTCTAATTATTGTGTTGCGGCATCAGCTGCGATCGGTTCCCATAGATCCTGCTTCAACACTTCAAGTACTTTCTTTTCGTCAATGTCCCCTATATCCAGACTGCCACTGTGGACTTGATCTTCAGGAGCCTCTTGCAACATGGCTTCGCTTAGATCCGTTTCCGGCCCTTGCGTCCGTAGATAATCTTCCTCCAAAAGGAACCTTGGGTTTTCTTTTTCGGCACGCAAAGCCTCAGGAGGCTGGGGAAGAGCGTAGATTGTGGGAAATTCCAGAACCGCACGGTCTCGGAGAGCAGAGGTAAAAGTCACGGTTGGGGATAAAGGGATGAGGACTGGCTGCTTGGTAGCAGTTCGTGGACGATGAAGATAGAAGCTAACTCCACGATGGGGGATTATTTCGGGCTTGCTTTCGGGTGAGCCTGATGGTTGATCTTGTGTTGATTCTGTGGCTGGTTGACCAGTTGGTGCTGCCGGGAGAGATTCAACGGTCTCTGATTGTGTTGGCCGTTCCGTGGACGCGGGCTCTGACTCCTGTTCTCGATCACCTGTACTTTCAAGTGTTTGCTCGTCTTTCTTTGCTTTTTGAACACTTTCTTCTGCTCTCTCTTTAGGTTGTGGGTAGATGCGGTCGTATGCGTCCGCCAGCGTGCACGACTCCAAGCAGTTCCTCGTCACCTTCTTGTCTTCCGCAGTAATCCATTCAACCGTCCAACTCAAACATTTATGTCTGGAGACCGTCAGTACATCGACACCATCATCACCACCACCACCCAGAAAAGAGACATACCTAGGATTCCACTTTGACGCATTCGCCTTATTCCTACTCATCCCCCTCGGCGCCTTGATAACCCGCACGCCGGCGTTCTGCGCCCCGCGCAGAAACGCAGCTTCACCCTTCACAAAGCCCCCCTGTTCAGGCCTCTTCCTCTTCCTCCCCGCCTCGGCGTCCCCCCCGTCCTGCCCAAGTTCATGCTCCAGACCCAACACCGCCGGATCGGCGGTCGTAGTCCCATTCAACGGGATCCCTCTATCCTCCGCCTCACGCTCCGCGCGCTCAAGGCTCCGCTCGATCTTCGTGATGAAGTTGAAGTCCCGGTCGAAGGCGGATTCCGTGGCGAGCTCACTGCGCTTCAGGTAGGCGGCTGGGTCGCGGACGCCAGAACACTGGGACCAGAGCTTGTGGCGGCGGGAGCAGGGGAGGGAGCATGTCCGTGTCGAGCAGCGGGGGCAGCGGTATTTGGGGGGGTTTATGTGGCTGTGAGAGGGTGTTTAATTAGTGGTTGTTTGATGCGATGGGACGGGATGTTGTTTACTTACCAGATTGTGCATAGATCGGACAGCAAGGTGTCGCCGTCGGCATTGGACATATTGATGTAGAAAATGTAGAAACTAAGAATAGTTGACAGTAAGGATAAACGTTATTATTAGTGTTAACCGTTCTTATAGAATAGACGTTGACGGCAAGCTGCGCAGACGACGCATGAGAGGGAAAAAGTTTCTGGGGATCGAAGTGAGCTTATCGATAACGGTCAATGCCTGGATGCCTTAGGCCGCCAAAGCACTGTCCAAGCTTTTAACTACGAAGTACGACGGGATACATCTTTAGGGTTATTTCGTCTTGAAATATGGTCATGGCGTTTGAGCATTCAAATTGGAATCTTCTTCTTGAAAGTCTATTAGACGATGGAGTCGAAGCATCATGGACACATATCCGAGGTCACATTGCAGCAGCAACGATGATATCATCGCGATTACTGATCAATGGTGCACATGTATTTCTAAGCACGGCATCAACAATGCCCGAAGTAAATCACGACATCTCAATCATGAGTGATATAATGAGTGAAGAATCCGCGTAATTCTGACTTGACGAAAGGAAGTGACGATTTAACAATTGACAACTTATAAACTTTTAACAAGATGGCTACCAAACCATTGGCTATCGTCGCCGGAGTCGGTCCTGGCACAGTAAGTCCATTAATTGACTGGAAGACACATCTGCTAAGACATGACCAGGGCGCTTCCATTGCCAGACGCTTTGCCAAAGCATACTCGGTGGTGGTACTTAGCCGGAACCCGGCGAACTTCGAACCTGTTGTCCAAGAGATCAACTCCAGCGGTGGACAGGCTCTAGGAATCAGTACGGACGTGACAGACTCGGCAAGCGTCAAGTCTGCGTTCGAGAAGATCTCTCAGCAATACGCTGGTGTTCCTCTCGCAGCGGCCGTGTTCAACCCTGCCGGTGGATTTGCGCGCAAACCCTTCCTCGAGCTCACAGAGGAAGAATTCTCCCAGGGATTCGAGAACCAAGGGTGAGTCTCTCATCACAAGACAAATGTATTCATCCAAAGACTGAGTCAAAACAGAAAGGGAGCTTTCAACTTCGCCAAAGGCGCTTTGCCTCTCCTGCTTCAGGCGCAGGGCTTGCAGCATCCACCAACCCTAATCTTTACGGGGGCTACAGCCAGCGTAAAAGGGTCTGCCAACTTCGCGGCCTTTGCATCGGGCAAGTTTGCCCTACGAGCGTTGGCTCAGTCGCTGGCGCGAGAGTTCGGACCGAAGGGCGTTCACGTCTCTCACGTCATTATCGACGGGGTCATAGATATTCCCAGAACGAAGGCCTGGACATTCGAGCATGAAGACGCTAAACTTGACCCCGACGCTGTAAGATACTTTCCGTTGATTGAAACTGACAGCAATGACTGATTGGTAGTATAGATTGCTGAGTCGTACTGGCATCTGCACACCCAGCCGCGCACAACATTTGGGTTCGAGCTGGATCTTCGCCCATATGTGGAGAAATGGTAATGCAGAGGTCGAAGAGGTATATCAGCTGATGATAATGAATCATTGTTTCCTTTCCGTGATGAAGTTGGTACGCAGTAGTAGCGCTGTAACCGTCGGGCCGATCTCTCAGTTTCAGTAAAACTCCGGGGGAAGGAGGAGGGGGAACTTGCTTCAAATAAATTGATTCTCGAGGCAAGGAGCTCATTGAAAGTATTGTTGAAGGAGATCGTCGCTCAGAAGCGTATTCTGTTTCAGTTATTGCTTCAAGTTTTCCCGAGATCTCAGAATTACTCCGGGACCAGTATAAAAGGATACTATTTAACCACGATTATAGCACTATGCTAGCTCATCTGCTGAAGAAAGCTCAAGTGCGCCAAAATGAAGTTTTCAATCCTTCTGAGTCTTCTCCCTCTAGCCTCTGCAGCAACTACATTAATCCCCTCCACGTGCTTCAGCTCATACTCTTCTCTGGAAAAATACTTTGCCTACCTTTACCCTTGGGGCTCAGATCATAATGGATCCGCTCGTATGGTCGGCAGTTCGACCAACCACGAGTACATTTCCGTCAACTCAGGCACACTGACTCTGGTCGCCAAACCAGTTAGCGGCCAGTCACCTACCAAAGGAGGTACAAAGATCAACTATCTATCTGGTGCGGTGCACTCAGCAAGGACATTCACCGTCACAGCCGGATCAGGCTTCGATATCCAGGCTGAGTTCCAAGCTCCAACCGCTAGAGGCACCTGGCCTGCGTTCTGGCTCAATGGAGCGAATACATGGCCACCTGAGATCGATCTTGCCGAGTGGAAGGGTTTGCTCACCCCGAGACACGAACTGCTCGGACTTTGTATGGCTGACAGCAGCAGGAACCGGGGATATCAGTTTCAATACCTTCAATGTGAGCGACGCACTTGAAGCCATGGTGACGAACGTGCGCTGACCAGTCACTATTACAGACCTCGTCTGAAGTCAAAGCTTTGGATGTCAAGTACCCCTCTCCCAGCAACTTTCATACGATCAAGTCGGAGATTCGTGATGTCGATGGCAAGGACATCTCCGTCAAGTTCTACCTTGACGGCAAGCTGATCACGACCCAGTACGGCAGAGATTATATTGGCAAGCCGTTGCATTTGTAAGTTTGTAACAATCAATGCGACATTGTCCAGCACTGACTCATCCCAGAATCATCAACCTACAAATGGAGGGATCCTCAGGATCTCCTGGTCCAACAACTGGTTAGTCTTCCTTCCGTGGCTTGTTGGTGATGATCGACTAATTGAGCAGATACCTACTACCGCATTCGCAATCTATCTTTTGTGCAGATTTAGTTGGCAGATAGTCACCGTGAATGATACTTTGGTGATAGATTGTTGATGTGTTCAAGTAGCAATTGTATACTTGTAGAAATCAGTAACTTTATGCTGGAGAAACGCTCGATGACTAAGCTGCACAACATCAGCCAACCTCACGGACACTTCCTTCTCCACACTCCGTCACTGCTATCCCCAAGCTTCTCAAACACCAATTGGAGCCAAACCACCAACGCTCTACCATCCAAGATGGTGCTCAACGACACATCACCGCAGTCCGAGTCCGAGGGCTCCTACGCGCCATCCCAAAATGGATCCAACTCATACACCAGCGGCCACATCCCAATCCCCGGGTATCCCCTCGTGCTCAAAACCGAATACCTTTCCCGCCCAGACCCATTCACGCTGTACTTCGGCTTCGTCGGCCAACGCAACTGGCTCCACAAGAACGGCGCACACGTCCGCGACCGCATTGAATCCTGCAAAGTGATGATCAACCGGCTCCCCACGCAGGAGGAGCTCGACGCCTTCGTCTACCACGGCAGCAAATACATCTACCACCAGCGCCTCGGCGCGCCCTACTGCGGCGCCATCGGCATGGCGTACGTGTACTGGCGCGTGCGCAACTCGGGGGTCGTCGCGCATCTTGCCCCCGGACTGAAACCGGGGCAGAGGCCGTCGCCGGCGCAGGTGTTGGCGGCTGTGAAGCTCTACTCGACGATCGAGCCGGCGAATTTCCGACAGTTAATGGTGTGGGGATCGTTCCGGTGGTTCTTCTGGGTGGCGGCGGGCTCGGTGATAACGAGTGTGTGGGGGATGTTCCATGATCTGAAGGAGACGATGGGCGATCCGCGGCTGAAGCAGTTCTTTGCGGAGATGAAGGATAATGACCCGGAGGAGGTGCGCAGGCGGAAGGTCCAGAGGGTTGTGGAGAAGACGAAAGCGGCCAGGGAGGCGGCGGAGCGGCGCGCGCAGGGCTTGCCGCCTGTGGAGCCGGGGATGGGTCAGGGTGTCGGTGCGGGAGGGGGAGGCTACGCTGAGAGCCATGAGCATGACCAGGATGGTGGGACGTACGGGTCTTTGGACCCTTACTCTTCTTCCTCTGCGAGGGAGACTGTTGAGTCGGCGTCGTCGGATAAGCCTGCTAATCTGCCGGATCGGAATCTGGGGCGCTTGTACGGTGATCCCTCCGCGACGCAGTCGATGCGCGGTGCTACCACTGTCGACCAGAACAAGACTTCGGACTTTTTTGAAAGTGACGACGCGAGCCCCGTTGCGGCGGAGTATCGCTCTGACGGTGGCTCGCAGGGAAGCGCCTGGGATCGCATTAGACAGCAGGCCAGTTCTGGCTCCCAGGGCGGGCAGGATAGCGGGCTAGGGTCGGCGTGGAATCGGTCCGTCAATGAGAGGCAACAGCGCGAGCAGGATAGCGGGTTAGGGTCAGCATGGAACCGGGGTTCTTCATCGCCAGACAGTGACAGCCGACAGCGCGAACAAGCTCAGGCTGAATTTGACCGCTTGCTAGAGGCCGAGAGGAACATGGCCGGTGACTCTCAAGGGGGAGAGAAGAAGGGATGGGGAAGATGGAACTGAACTTCCCGCAACGTATTACGAGCTTAACATGTACCATATCACTTTACATTAGCAGTTACATTTCACTCATTTCTTTTGTCTGTGCCATGGCTTCTGGGAGAATTCTCCTTCGCTTGGTCTGGCCGACGACATTCTTCGACGGCTTTATCTTGGGCTGGTTTTATACAGCGCGGTATGCTGGTATGCTGGACAAACGCATGCTTCAAAAGTTGCTTCTTGACCTTCTTCCTCGTCTAACCGTAAATCACGCCGACTTTAGCTTTCTGAGGTCGGTGGGCTTACGCATACCTTGATACAGATTGTCTACGTTTCAAGCTGAAGGAGACGCAATGGATTCGCTTGAATATGACAGTAGGATGCTAACTTTTCCTTTACCCTTGCGGGCGAGTACAGTCTCAGAAAATCAGAAAATCCTTTAGAGCACATCATGAATCAGGCAGGGAATCTCGAATCTCTCAAGGTAACCCGCGTGATCATGGAAACTATAGGGTGAAACAGACGCAAGGGTATAACAATTGATAATCACGTAGAGATATGGGAAACAAGCTCAGTCATTGCAGACTGGAGTTGGGGGTGGGATTTAATTAACGCGCATGGTTAAAATGGTCATCAGTCATAAGAATTATAGGCTCAATGAGACATGGAGCGAATCACGGTATAGGAGTCAAGCAGGCAGGATATAAAAGGTTATTTCACAGGCATGTGATCAAAAAGAAATGGCTAAGTTATGTCCGGCCGTCCGACATTTGTACACTTTCATAGGGGACTCCGGAAGATGTCCAGTTGTCTACTCCGCGGCTGTTGCTGCGCATGCGTGTTAGATTCCGGATCTTGTGCGTGAAGCTCTCGTTAATGCTCTTGCCGCGCCGATGGTCAAACGAGGTGCGCCGGCGCTCGATGGTAGGCCGCATTTCCGTACTGATCGCCGGAGCCGCTGTCATAGCTCGAGGGAGCAACCTGCCCAGGTTCTCGTTGTCAATGGCAATGTCTATAGTCCCCGAGGATGCCCGAGGGGAGGCAGGTCCAAGGGGAGCGGGAGGTGGAGGAGGCGGCGGAGTGTTTAGATGCTGCAGCTCAGGCAGGATTGGAGGATTCTCAAATTCCTTTAGGCCCATGGAATTTTCGATAGTCTCTTCGATACTGACAGTGACTGGAGAGGAGCCGTAGGCATAGCCACCGGAACCGCCCAACTCACGAGAACTTTCTCGCCGGTGACCGACGTTCCGGCTCCTGCTGGTCGATCTGCTTCGCGGGAGGCGCGGGTTGAACCTCGGATGTGTTGGCAGGTCAACGGGCATGGGACCAGGTTGATGCTCTGGCATTGGAACGGACATTGAACGGCCGATTCTCTCGGCTTCGCCTTGGTACCTGGCATCACTCAGTGTTATAACGTTGTCTGGAACACTAGATCCAGACGAGACAGTCTCTTCGTAGCCATTGGGGTATTTCGGGTGACGCATGGCTTTTGGAGTCGCTGGCAGACCAAGGGGTCCTCCTGATCTCGACGAGTTCGAATCGGAGCTGCTAGGATAGTCCGGCGAGGCCTTGCTGGTCGACGCTCTTCTTCTCGCCGGTGTACGCTGATTGACAGAGGTTCTGGACAGCGGTGGGCTGCCTGGGGGGCTTCGGGTGTGTTGTAGCTCTCCAGGAAATGGTATGTTTGGGGCTGAAGGGTTGCGCGCAAGTGAAAGCCGCCGGGCCTCCAGTTCGGCAGCTGCGAGCTCCTTTCGCCTCTGTTCTGATAGTGCTATAGGTGGCAAGGTTGCAGCGCTCGCGTTTCGAGCTTGCATCTGCATCTCTTCCATTTCACGGTTTCTTTCTTGTAAGTACGCATCCGTCTGAGAAATACCATTTGTCATCAACCCGTTCGTCGCCTGTTCGGTGTTCGTGTTCATGTTCGTATCCTGGCCTTGACGATTACGAGACGTTGCTCGCGAATGTCTGCTCTCGGGAGACCCATCCCTTCTCAACCCGCCCTTGTCAGGACGTCGGCTGCTACTGCGTGGGTGACTCCGCAATCTTTCTCTGTCACTAGCGACCAGCCTCAGAGCATCCTCCGCTTGAGGTACGGGTAATGGGGCAGACGGTGATCTCGCACCGGAGCTTTGCCTATCGATGCTGCGCCCCCGATGACCAAGGTCATTCTTGTCGCCAGCCGCTCGGCTGGCAGCGTGTCGACTGGCAGAACGATGCCGACGACGCTCCGATGAGTGTCGAGAACGTGGCTTTCTCACTCTGCTGCCATTGCGTGATTTGCTAGCAGGATGCTTGGTCCCTGTGCTCTTGCTGTATTGAGCTATTTCCTCTGGGGACATGGGAACCGGAGAGGACGGTGAACGTTTAGCTGGCTGAATGTATCTTCTCTCGTTTCGTCCTCGAGTGGTTTCCTGGGAAGTGTTCCTCGAAGTGATCCGTCGTGCTGAGCTTTGGCTGATTGAATCATCCGTATTTCGCCTTCCTCGACTATATTTCTGTGAGCGATAATTCGCCTCGTCTAGGCTGTTGATGTACTGGTCGATGCTCCGCCCGCTGACACTGGGGCTCTTTGCTGAATTGTAACTATTTAGTGTCGAGGCTGGGCTCCGAGTATTGCTCATGGTGCTGCTAGGTGGGCCTAGCAAATCACTCTCTGAAGCACCGGTCTGGAACAGGTGAAGCTGGAGACCATCTGGCTTTCGGTCTCTTGATCCATTCCGACTGTCGGAACGTTCCTTGAGGGCATCGAAAACGCCAGGGCTTGGGGAAGGAAGACCCTTGATGGTTGCAAACTTATCCGAGTTCGCCTGAACGGCAGTTTGCGGACTCGGTTTGAACGTGTCTTTTTCAGGATTGTACCGTGCAGACGGCAACAAAGACGACAGGACCTCCTCATCCTGACTTTTGGTTCCATCATGCAGCCGGCTTGAGCTTCCCACCGACGAGGCATATTCCACGGAGTTACTCAAGCCACTTGACAAGAATGTGGGTGGATGGACATCGACGGGCGTTTCTCCAATGGAGGGCAAGCGTCTCCTGTTGAACGCAGGCGTGCCTGTCCTTGCGTTCATTGCATTGTTCAGACTTTGGATATTGTTCGCCCTGTAAGACCCGAATCCTCCAGGGGACACAGCGGACCCTCCTACAGCTGACTCGGCGATAGGTGTAATTCCAGGGGCATTAGTGGGTGTCCTGTCGTCTGATTTCAGACCCGGGAACCGAAACTTGCCTGGCTGAGAGTCAAACGACGTGATCAGCTTGAGGGCTGGAGTTTTCGCGTTTGGTCTGGTGCTAGGCGGTATCTTTGGCTGTGAATTCGGAGGCGGGCGGAGGAAATTGGATGATTGTTGCTGCAAAGGCTGTGGCTCGGGAGATGTCATCGGTGATCTCCCTGAAAGAATTTCCGCAAAAGACGCAGCTTGCTGAGCAGCGGGAGAAGTCCAGGGATCGGAAGGCTCTACACCGGTACACATGAAGCATCGAATTGCGAGCTGCTGCTGAGCATGGGAAACGACGTGTTCACCCCATCGTCGCACCAGATATGACTGGCGCTGCCAATCCGTGGGCGTCAGGAGACAGGTCATCAGGATAGCTTCCATGTAGCAGTTCTGAGAGACATAGACTTCGATAGCTTCGTTCTTATCGCCCAGGCCCAGCAAAACGGTAGCCGACGTATGTATGTCGCCGATCTCTAGCAGCTTTTGCGCAAAGGCTTGGCCAACCTTGTTCGCTTGCGACTCTCCATTCATCTGGCTCATGGCTAAGAGCATCCAATCGGTCAACGTCGCCGGCCCAGAGTTGATCATGGCCGCTGTCGCGTCAGAGTCGGATTGGCCGAGCCATTGCGCCAACAGAATGGCACTTTGGCTGCCGGACGGGTGACGAAGGACTGCTCATAAGGTCAATTCGAGATGTCGAGAGCGCGAAAATTTGAAGGTGCTCACTCACGTTCGTCTCTAATCAGGTCCTGAATATCTTCATCCCATCCGAAGACGACGCTCAGCATCTGTCGCCGAAGGTCGTTTGGTGTGAGATGTGTTTCATCTATGGGGCGATGGTTCCTATACGGTACGTCGTTGAGACGCGCGCGTGTGAATGGAAACAAATCAATACGCTGGTCTGCTGGGCTAAATTGCACCTCATTCCGCAGTCGGGATCCCGCACGAGAGCTTTTCACCGACGACATTGAGACTGAGGAGGCGTACGTGTAGGAGGCCCCGGACTGCTGAGGAGTCTCTCTTCCACTTGCTGAAGCTAGCGAGAACGATGTACMCGTCTGCCCCGACCTACTTGGTGGTGAAAATGGCACCATCCTGTATTTCCCCGAAGATGCTTTCGAGCTGACAGAGTTAGCGTGACTCCGTGATGATACTGGACTTCCCATCTCTGCACGCTGCTGCCGTACGGCATCTACTCCGCTTTGGTCGAAAGGCGGCCGGCCGTCGTACATACGCGCTGATTCTCTGAGATCCGGTGGATCCTGTAAGACTCGTGACTCTAGGGATCCTCCCCTCGGGTCGTCAGAAGTTGCTGTGAGGGCTCCAGCAGGAAGGTGCTGCACATTAGCAACCATTCCCGGATTATCTAAATCGTACTGCTGCACTGTGTAGTTAGGGCCAAGAGTGAAAAGAGTAGCAGTCGGGCCATAATTAGCGAAACCACGAGGGTTTTCTATTGTCGGAATCGGTTCGTAAGTGACGTGTTTCGTTTTGACATCCCATGCCCAAGTCTCCCTGAAAGTCGTTACGGGTTAGGTGCTCAATCGTATGATTAGAATTGATTACACTTACCCATCAAGAAACTGCACAATCCGGCCGTTCTTAGACCAAGCCATCCACTTAGGCTCAGCTGAAGAAGAGTCGGATCGCTTGAGAACTCTGATGACCCGCGGAGCCTCTTTGCCAGGGGGCTTTGAAATACTCCAAACTCTCAAATCTCCATTGAAGGATAGAGTAGCGAGCATATCGGACTTTTGCTTTGATGACGACGCATGCCATGCTAACGAGACGATGGGTGACGGGCCTCGTGACGTCGACATGGTATGTAGGATGGTAAACGTGGGATGAAGAGTGGCGATCAGGATGGAACCGTTCTGATAGCTGATAGAAGAGTCAGCCGAAGCTTTCAATCGATAATGTCGTCCTTTCCACCCTCCTTCTCCAGTAGAAGATTATTTACATACCCAATGGCATACGTTCGGCAGTCAGAGGCCGGCGCCAGAGCTGTAATGGGGTCGAAGATGGTCCTTGTCGAAACATGCTCCGAAGTGGAAGGCTCGAAGAGAATGACATCGCCCTTGCCGTTTCCTTGAAGGTCATCAGCATGCATCCTCGTCAATCGTGAGGGCAAGGTCCTCCTTACCAAACGCTACATTGCCATTACGCATCCAGGCAGCTACTCGTAGGTGGTCGAACGCCGCAAAACGAGCGAGCTCAGCTCCGGTAAACAGGTCCCACACGATCGTCGTCTGTCCCGTGTCATAACTGGCGACTAATCTTCCCGAACCTCGTTCGCTGACATTGTCCACAGATATGAAAGAGATATCCGCCTTATGATGGTCGAACCGTCTCTCGAGTGCGAGGGTGTCATGATGGAGGCAATTAATCACCGATCCTTGAGCGTAGAGGAATAATGAGGCTGTCGACGCACATGGCTCGAAGGTGGTTTCCGGTGCCTGCGATTGAGGTGTCGGCGGCGCAATCGGAGGAGCCATTGGTTTAATTGTCGTACTTTTCGTATCAGGAGGGGGATTTCTGTTCCATGTCAATTCAACCATTCTTCGGGGTCCTGCGGGCGAGTTGCTGGCGTGCGAGCTGAGTGAGACAGCGTCTCTTTCTTCTGTCTCGCCGTCCACTCGTAATTGTACGGCACTATCAGAGTCGAGCTCGCGAAATCCGAATTCGAGGTTCTATTGCAGATTTCTCGAAGTGTTGGCGCACGTGGAGTGACAGAATGGGTGTTGTTCGACAGTACAGGCACCGCTCAACAGCATCCCCGCAGCTTCGGTGTTCCTCGCAGAGAAATAATTTAGGACTGTTCAGTTATGACCGAACAGAGTACTATCCAGCTAATCACAGCTTTATCGTAGCTTCGATGACGAGATACAGTCCGCTGAATTAGTACAAAGCTTCGTCTCGGGACATGGACTCAGGAAGAAGCAGAAAGAGAACCGACAAGACGGTCCGGCCCACCGTAGGAGTAGGGTAAGAGGGAAACGGAAAAATGGCAAAAGCTATAACTAGGATAATAAGGTCAAAATCTGAAATAGGCGAAAAGTGCGATTATGCAAGGCCAGCAACCGCAATGTATCGCAGATGCAGGCGACTGACAAGGAATAGTATGCACTAGGCGGGCTACCACGTTATATGGAGGGGGGAAGTACATAAGAGAAGAGCCGACAGGGTTTTGAAAGTCCAGGAAACCAAGGAAAAGGGGTTTCAGAGGAGTCCACAATGGAGACTGTTTTCTATGATGGAGTGAGTGAGCGACGACTGAAAGGGTGTGATTCGACATTCCCTACGACTCGACCCTCATCGACAATCTGTTAGACCATGCAGAAAAGATACAAAACGTTTGGAAGGCGGCACTAAGTTACCTTAGTCGAGGATCGAACTCACCAGCCACCAAGCAATGGCAGCTCGCGCCAAGGGAGGTGCATGGCGCTTGGTCTGTATCGGGGGGAGGCGAAGGTGATTTCATGACTTCATTAGCGGAAGAGTATAAATGAGGGAAAGAGAGTGTATCCAGTGACATGTTGATTGCACTTGATTCCTCTCCAGCGCTAAAGCAGTACAGCACACTAGCGAGGTATCTGATATCCATACAGCGGTACAGCCACAGGACACAGGACACGAGACTGCAGAGGGCGGACAGACAGACAGGCAGCCGAATGGGATTTGGAGAGGAGAGGAATCAGCGCTAACAGGTTAGACTAAGGCAGTGGAAGGAATTAAAAGTCGATCAAACGCATAGCGGGCATGGTCGGACGGAAGAAATGTGCGAGATGTTGCAGCTCCTAGCGGTAGTGAGACCGGGGCATAGCACGATCATAGGATGCTTTGCAGCCGGGAAAGTTTGGAGCTAAAATGAAAATCAAACAAAAATAGCCGATTTTCAGACCTTACAAGGGACAGAAGATATCCCGCTGTCATGATCATCGTCTTCTCTTATTGCCATTATCTCTCTAGGGGATGATATGTATTGTTGTTAATTTCCAATGAGAGACAGGTCAAGAGCACGCCCAGTAGAAGCAACCTAAGCCAGTGATCAAACAATCCTGTCAAAGTCTTCCACCTTTTCAAGGCGGGGTTAGGACGAATTATCTGTATTGTCAGATGTTAACAGGCATTCTTCTTCTGGACGGCCTAAAGATGATGCTGCCAGGAACCCCCATCACGGACGCTGATTGGCTGGCAGCAATGCAGAAGGCGTTTCTTCACACTGCAGGTCTCATCACCCGACCCAACCAATCACAGCCCACAACGGCCCTGTCGTCCTCCTCCCGTGACCAGCTGGGCGCGTATTTGAGCAGGTTCACGAGAGATAACTGGATGCTTCAAGTGGCCAAAGGATCGTCTGTCGATTCGTAGCTACCTCAGGTGCTCGAAGCAGAAGATCTAGGAAAGAAAAGGAGTCGGCATGATCGAGGGAACTGATTCCCTCGAGCAGTGTGCCGAAGTATATACCTGTCTATGGTGCGCCTAATTAGAGAGGCAGGACAAGCTGCAACAGTAGTATTGCGGAATAGTAGATACTAGGTAAACCTTGAACCTCAGAGCTCACCAGGCATACCCAAATTGGCCAATTCCTACGATGCAATGTGATGTGATGATGAAAAGTTCTGTGCTTCATAGCTGCTGCGGAGATGCCCGACAAGCTCACAACCAAATATGCAGCTTCAAAGTCAATGTCCAGCCAGGATGGTGTGACAAGAATCCAGCCCCGGCTCGTATGTGATTGTGATCCGATCCATGGTGGCTTTCCAGTAATCACTAGAGCGATAAGATTTGGCGGGGTCAAAGAGGCGGTTAAACTGTCATGTAAAAGCTCCGACAGTTCAAAGGCAAGCATGGTTTAACCTCAACTGCTTCTGTATATAGAATGGTAGATAGAGACTGACAGATCCGAAGGGGATAATAATACAGCAAAATCGGATAACCTCATACCACCGAACCATGATCGGAGACTCAAACGTCTCTTTTCTGATAACGGCAATAGTTCGGACTCCAGACTGACCCCAACATGCGGGGATCCGCTTATCTCCATCTCACAATGCAAGATCACAGTCCAAAGTTCTCATGAAGACTAGAGAAATTTGGGTTGGATCGAGTACATCGTGTGTCTCGCAAAATGAGTGAGGAAACCATAGTAGTTATCGGGTACGTCGGTTTTCCTGTATCAAACCAATCCACTGCCATAATGACCCGAATATATAACACTGACTCATTGCAGCGCGGGCGTAATCGGTCTCACCACAGCCCTTCACATCCAACAACACCTCCACCCCTCTCAAAACATCCTCATCGTCGCCAGAGACTTCCCCAACACCACCTCGCTCAATTATGCTTCACCCTGGGCCGGCGCGCACTACCGCCCCGTCCCAGGGCCCTCGTCTTCCCCGCAAGCCGCAAGAGAAAACAGCCAAGCACGCCGCACATATGAATACTTCAAGCGCCTCGCCACCGACCCCTCATCAGGAGTCCAACTCATCGATGGCGAGGAACACCTCGAGGCGCCGCCCCCGGAGTACCTGAACGAAGCCAACATCCAGAACGCGTACGCGCATCTTGACGGCTTCCGCCGCCTGACGCAGGATGAGACTCCCCCGGAAGTGAAATGGGGCGTGCGCTATCGCACCTACGTGGTGAACTCGCCAGTCTACTGCGCCTATCTGCTTCGAAAGTTCGTCCTCAACGGCGGCCAGACGAGAGAGTACACGCTCGTCGATCCGATGGAGGCGTTTGAGCTGGCGGGCACGGGGACCGTTAGGACAGTTGTGAACTGCTCCGGACTCGGGTTCGGTGATCCCAAATCATTCATTATTCGAGGTATGAGCCGCAACTCTTCGAGTTTCAAATTACAGCTGCTGATAAAGGCTACCAGGGCAAACGTGTCTCGTCCGCAACCCCTGCTCTGTGACTATCACCCGCCAAAACTCAGACGGCACCTGGTCGTTCTGTATCCCCCGGCCTCTGAGCGGCGGGACAATCATCGGCGGTACCAAGCAACCGCATGACTGGAACCCGACACCCTCGCTTGATACGAGGAAGCAGCTGCTCTCTAATGCGGCGAAATGGTTCCCCTTTGCGAAGGAGAGTGGAGGGCATTTCGATGTCATCCGTGATATTGTCGGACGGAGGCCGGCGAGGGAAGGGGGGATGAGGATTGAGGCGGAGAGAGTGGGTGGTGATCGCTTCATTGTGCATGCCTATGGGGCTGGGGGACGGGGATTCGAATTATCGTGGGGAGTTGCGCAGGATGTTGTGCAGTTGATGTTTGAGAATGGGTTGGCGCGGCAGAAAGCGTCGTTGTAGACATTTGAAATCAATACAGAAGACTCGTTCTAGAATCCTAGCCAGTCGCTGATCGACTCCACTACTTTGACAGATGGGAACCTGAAGCGGTTGATGCAAAGCATTGACATGTAGCGCTAAATCTAGTCAAAATCATTTTCTACGTACAAAAACGGCATACAGCATGCCAGCCTCTGTTGTCTGCATCCACGTCACACATGATTGCGACGATCATGTGTCGCCTTCTGCCCCCTGCCCTTCCCTACACGCATTGGGACATCGGCCCCAAACTCCTGTGCTGCACAGGAGCACGTATGGAAATGACAGAGGACAAAGCGTCAAACGCCCACCCGGCAGATATCTCAGTCCTGGTTATCAACACGATCACCATCACGGGCCCGGACATCCGCCTGGAACGCCGGTTCCAGTGTGGGAGGTGCCATGCCCGAATTCGAAAGCCCAAGTTGTTAGAATCTTGGGTGAGTCGTACCAACTCAGCCTTCGCCCTCTTGGGCAACGGTCTCGTCATTCGAAGATGGCGTGACGGAAATACCAGCCAGACGGGCAAGACGTTCCTCTTCTTTCCTCTCCCGTATACGTTCGGTCTCCCGCCGCAGAGCTTCAAGGTTCCAGGTTTCGTCGTCCTCATCCTCCTCCTCGCTCTCCTCCTCCGCACGCCAGTTGCCGCTCTCGAACAGAGCACGACCTGTGGCCTCCTTGGCCTTGCGGGCTTGTTCCTCTGCAGCCTTCTTATCCAGACGCTCCTTCTTCCACTTGGCGAAGGTCTCGGGTGTCACCGGTGTCAAGTTGCCGGTGAGCTTGTGACGTTCCGATTCGAGCCAGTCCTCGAGGGTTAGCGTGTTCAATGGAGACTTGTCCATCATAGCCTTCTCAGCAGCTCTCTGCTCCTTTGTCTTCAACACGAATCTAGATAATCATGTTAGATTCATCGTACAATGCATAAAGAGATGCACTAAAACATACCCAGGTGGCAAGCTGTGTTTGTACATGCACTTGTCGCCTCCATTAGGACAAACCCAGAACCAACCATACTTCTGGTTCTCGACCGCCTCAATGAAGAACTTGCAAACCTTCTCGGTAGTCGTCCGAGGATTGCCGTGCTTGCTGAGAACAACTTTGCGAAGTTTCTCTTCGTCCCACTGGTCCATCGTGTCACCCTTCTTCTCCTCCTCCTCCGCAGCCTTCACATCTCGTGAATCGGTGTAAAGATCCTTCTTGGCCGCTTTCCGCTCAACGTTCGGATCGTGACTGAACTTGCACTTCTTTCCCTTTTCACAGTTGCCCTGCTTGTAGAAGACACACAGGACGGTCTTCGGGTCKACACCGAAAGGAACCTTCTGAACCTGCACGGGCTTGAACAATTCTAGGGTTTCCTTCTTTGCGGCCTCGGCGGCCTTCTTCTCGGCTTCACGACGGGCCTTCTCAGCCTCCTTCTTCTTGGCTTCGGCGGTCTTGTTGTGTGCTGCTTGGGCTTGGAGCTGTGCAATCTGCCTCTTCGCGGAACCACCTTTTTTCTGTAAGAATGTCAGGTCAGTTGAGTTTCAATAATAATGGGATGATATCGTCTCCGAAAGTTCGTAACGTACGTTTTTCATACCAAAGGTCTGTTCACGAGAAGAGTCAGTAAATCAAGTCCAAAACAGTTCATCATTCAGCGTCAGCACGAACCTTGTCCTCGACCGTGGCCTTCGTCTTCTTCTTCGCCGGCTCAGGCTTCTTGGGCGGCATTTTGGCTATGTCCTTGTGATTTTCTAATCTGCAAAACGTCTATTAAAAGGCAAACAATTTCACGCCGAATTTGGCGGTGGCGCTGGGCTCGTTCGCAGTCAATCAAGGCTGACGAGCTAAATCGACCGAATATTTATAATGACAGAGATGAAGAGGGTCGATCCAAGCGTCTTGACAGATAGACGAAAGTGGGTTGACACCTCAAATGCAGCGCGTGCAGCGATCGTGAGAGTGGGTGAACTTGGAAGATCTTGGTTGCGAGTCCCTCCACATTTTCAAGAGAGGATGTGGGTTTCMAGAGAATGTGGCGGCACAACCTTCGAAAGGCTTCTCTCCGCCAATGAGTTTCGACGCCCAGAATGCGGTCGACCAAACATTCGGACTCGACCAAACTCGGAACAATTTTTGCATTCTGGTCATGCCAGAGGCATTACCAAGGATAATATTCATAATGAAGAGTTGGGTACTCTCTATTCCCATCTCTCAGTCATTTTGGTGAGGAACGTCTCTCAGCACCACGACATCAGCAAATGGCCTGAAATCGAGTATCTTCGAGGCTCTAGGACGTCATGACTTGTTTGACGCACCCCAAGGCAAATAGTGTTACTTCTAACATACTACGATGAATTTATGCTTGGGCATAGTTGTGGCAGAACTTGCTGGTAGAGCACCTCAACTTATCAGGCGGAATAATCCAATAGCGCGAAGCGTATCTCATTATATCATTCAGACTTGCGGTATGTCCTGAGACATTATCGTCCACAGATTATGCATCTCAGGCCTCCCCGATTAGTCGCCAACGGTATACTCAGACTCGTACAGCCTCTTTTTATAGTCGAAAATGAGTAAGCTCATTCATGGCAGAGCGATTTAGTTCATAATAGGTGTTCCAGCATTCAGCTTTCACAGATCATCACAAGCTCCTTTCCATCATACTTTAAGAGACTTCCTGGATCTTAGAGGACTTGGCCTCTCCCTCGGTCTTGCTGTCACCCTCGAGCTCGGGCATTTCGTCATCCTAATAACATATTAGCAAATGCGATGCGTACGATTTCCAAAGCTCGGATCAGATCTACTTACCGATTCTTCGCCCTCAGCACCTTCGAAGCCCTCAGCGCCCTCGGCACCCCCACCGAGGTTGGCACCGAGCTTGGAGAAATCGATGTTTCCAAGGCCGCCCTGGTCAAGACCCTCGAATCCACCAAAGTTGTTTGCGTAGTCATCGTCGCCTGCCTCGTCTTGCTCATCCTCGTCAACCCACTAGCAATTGTTAGTAGGTGTCTTCTTCCGCCAAATCCACGATTGTCAAATGTCATACCTTGTCGAAATCCGTCTTCAAGAAGTGGAGCTTCTGTGTGTCCTTCACCAGACGGGGCCAGTACTCCTCCTTTAGCTCCTTCTTCCGCAATACCAGCTCGACCTCACGGTCAGTGTGGTTGACCTTGCTGTTTTCGGGGTCAATCTCGGCGTATAAGTCGAGAGAGACGTGATATTTTACGCCCTTGTTGGTTTCTCCGGTGAATGAGACATTGGTAGCGGTGATCTTCAGATCCGCGGCCGACTTCGCGACATCGGGGGTCTTGATGTTGACGTAGAGGTAGTTGCGCTCGGGATCTGAGCTGGACGAGCGCTGGGCCCATGTAACTGCACAGGAATTCGTCAGCAATGCTTATCATCTCAAGGACGAAGCGATAGCCCGAGGGTCTTCAGTGTGCGGCAGATACATATGCATTGAGGCTCAAGTGCCTGAGTTGCAATTGAGACGCAAAGACCAGCAACACACGCCGAGGCGGGGAAGGTGGAACAGAATGACCACAAGCTAACGTACCTTCAGGAGTGAGCTGAGACATTTTGATCCGCGTTAGATAGGATACTGGAAGAGAGAAAGCAAAGAAGATAACAGGAACAGATGTGCAGATCTAGAGCTGAGACGAAAGTGAAGATAGAGCAGACAGTAGGTAGAAAGACTCGGGGCTAGAAAGGCTGGTGATGGAGTCCAGCTGAGGTTAGCGCAGCTTGTCCCTCCAGAACTGGTGCTAGAAAGTACTGGAACTGTCTTATGGCGGCCGCCTACTGTTTGCTCTGTTTGCGGTCTCCGGTATGCCTGAGGTTCCATTTTTCGACGAGCTGGGACTTGAGTGGCTTGGTTTGCTGACTAATCACGTGGGAAAGTTGGTGCCGGATTCCTCAGTCTGTTGACGAGCGAGACACCGATCTTGGTCAAAGGTATTCCCGATATACGATCTTCAAGTTGCAGCTCTTATTAGTTCAGTTGCTATATCGTTCTCCTTCGTGTCGTGACATTAGCAGTCTGTTATCTTATCATCTGCATTCGCCTCGCGCAACTCATTCCAACGCACTGCCGAGTCGATACCCCACTTACAGTGACGATCAAGTTACCGAACATAGCTTGATGCCTTTTGCGACAACGTAGTCTTGGGCGCTCACGACGTCGTGAACTCTGGCTATATTCTATAAATTCACATATATTCAGTCCTCAAGAACGGAATATCTCAGGGAGATAATCCAGGAAAACATCACTGAGAGCCTCCTCACCATGGAGACTCTTAAGGCAGTATTCTTCGGTCCAGATCCTCAAGCGCAAGTACGACTATTGATGACTACTAGCTACCGATGTGTGCTGATTTGACTTTCCAATTTGCAGATGAGGAAATGCAACCAACTTATACGTGCCAATACCCGTCAATTAGACCGCGACATTGCCCAGTTGAGGACTCTGGAAACCAAGACACGGCAATACATTGTGAATGCGTCGCGCAGGGCTCAGCGAAATCCTTCGCAAGCAAAACAGGCGACTGCTGAGACAAAGACCTTTGCCCGAGAACTTGTCCGGATCCGCAAACAGTCCGCTCGGCTGACTACGAGCCGAGCCCAGCTTCAAAGTGTCCAGATGCAAGTGAACGAGGCCTTTTCGATGCGTAAGATTCAAGGCAGTCTGAAGAAGTCGACTGGAATTATGAAGGATGTCAATACATTGGTCCGACTACCTGAATTGACAGGAACCATGCGTCAACTGGCGACGGAACTGGTGCGTGCTGGTATCATTGAGGAGATGGTTGACGATGCGATACCCAACAATGAGCTCTATGAGGACGAAGAAGTTGAAGCTGAGGCGGAGGTCGACAAGGTCTTACAGGAGATCTTGCAGGGCAAGCTTTCCCAGGCCGGAGACGTCAAAGCCGAAGAACCGGCAGAAGGAGAACCGGCTATTGAGGAACAGATGGAAGATCAAGAAGCGGCCCTGGAACAGATGAGAGGCCGATTGGAAGCTCTGAAAAGCTGATTATGTACGGATTGGTCACTTCAGGCTGATGCTCCAGGGAGCATGTTGATTCCAACACAAGGAGTACTCTATTATTAATGTGGTTGTGCGTTATGTACAGGGCTCCGGGTAGAGCGAGCGTTCGGCGTTTTGTCATTAGGGACTCTTTTATTATTGCAATGTGTCAAGGCTGGGCCTAGTAGCAACTGACTCGAATATACGATTCTATTTTGCTCGTGAGAATGATTCTATATATTGTGGTAGTTCAACTGGAAATAAGTGATGAATGAGTCCCATATTTGACCCTCCCAACTGTGATTTCGAGACATCATGTTATTTTTTTAGCCGATATAATGCTGCATTCAGCTGCTTAGAACAGACGTCGAGGGAGTCCTTTCGAGAATGAGTGATTTGGCAATAATGATGATGAATGTTTCAGTTCGTACGGCCAAATCCTGATGTCTAAGGCACCAACGTCCCGCTTCCAAATGCGGCCTAGCGCCAAACCAAACACAGCCTCCTTGCCTACCGCCCTTGCGTAACTTCCTGTCGTCCATCAATCTCAACCGTCCATCGTCTTGCATCACCTCCTCCATCAACGCGTCTTTCTTCTTACTCACGTACATCCATAATTGTATCAGCAATTAATACTCCAAGCTCAATAGCGACATTCACAGCTTTTGAGCCTATTCTCCTGCCCCTTTGTTAAAGCCTCGAACCACCTAGGTGGTGCATCATCTTCACGGTCGCAAATCCGTGAATCTCCTGAACCTCTCACTCTCCAATTCTAATCACTCATTCGAACTCAACACAATGTCTGCCAAGCTGGACAAGTCTCTCGACGAGATCCTCGTCAACCGTCGTCAAAACGCTCGTCGTCGCAGTCGTCGTCCGGCCGCTTCAAAGCCTGGCAGTGCTGCTGTTCCAGTTGGAGGAGTGAAGAAGAATAAGCCCGCCAAACCCGTTGCAAAGGGGGTTCAGGGTGGACACCCGGTTGCAACAGAAAGCAAGATCATGGTCAGCGGCTTGGTAAGTTTCCATTCACGCTCCGAGCTTGATAGTGTGCAGATTTGCTAACTGCTTTAAGCCCTCTGATGTGAATGAGGCCAATATCAAGGTATGTTGATCGAGAGGCCTACGCCTTGGGTTTCTATCGCCATGTCTGTTTTTCGAGACCTTCGAGGCGTCAACGGCTTCCATCCGCGTTCGGACCCGTCGCCACGTCGCTTCCACAACCTCGTGGTGATTGCTGGGTTCGCTGCACAGGCACCTACTCCTTCCCGTCTTCTATCTACGAGCATTTCATAAACTGCTGCTACATGACGGTCGAGGTCGAGTTTTGCCGGAGTCTTGCGAGAAGCGTGTTTAGTTTGAGTCGCGAATTTGCGTTGTCAGCAATCCGCTTCCATCACTACGCTGCAGACTGTGCTCGGAGCTTTGAAATACCTTTCCTGGCGAAACTTTCCGGTTTCGCCGCCCGTTTGATTTCGCACTGCATGGAGGGGGCATCAGCGAGCGCATCAGCAAACAGCAGTAGCAGGCAAGGCTTTGCAATGAATCAGAACCATCGACGGGTGGTACGATTTATTTGTGAAGTGCGTCAGTTTATTAGGGCAGGAGACGCACTCGCAATGAATCTTAAGGATCTAGCAGCCTTGCCGAGATTGTTCTTATTGTCACTATTTGACTTGTGGGCAAACTGGGGGTTCGTGTTGGGACTTCTCTGTTCCCTGTATTTTCAGCCATGGACTATCACTTCGTTGATGGCAGGCTACCTTTGGGCGTGGACGCTTGCTATCTGCATTGCTGCAGGGCACTGACATGCATTCGTCCACTCTTGGTCTGAATGGTTGATGAGGTCGGTTTATGCCATGGAGGGATCAAACGCCCGGCCATTATTTGAAGGGGATTGTGCCGGAAGGTCAATACGGATTCCAAAATGGTCTTGTGGCTTCACGATCGTAGAGGTGGAAATACGGGTTCCAGTGGAATATGACGCTAACGCTGTGTGCTCGCTGATGCTCTGTGCTACCTGTTGGGGGCCGTTTTGCGCACTTGTCGATGTTTCGTTCATGCCGCCGTCGTTGCCAGGTTTCGCGACTTGATCTTGACTGCAGTACTGATCATCTTTCCGTCCATTAGGAATACTTCTCAAAATCCGCAGGTCCCGTCAAGCGAGTGATGCTCACTTACAACCAGAACGGCACCAGCCGGGGTATTGCTTCGATTGTCTTCAGCAAACCCGACACAGCCGCCAAAGCTGCCAAAGAGTTGAATGGCCTTCTCGTGGATGGAAGACCCATGAAGGTGAAAGACGCATTGTCCTCTTTTTCGTTCCGACCGTCTCTAACTCTCCCTAGATTGAAGTAGTGGTTGACGCTTCCCACGCTCCGAGCGTGCCAGCACCCAAGCCTCTTGGAGAGCGCGTCGCGTAAGTTCTACACCCTGTCGTCTTTCTGATGATCTTCTGTTAATTTGGAACAGTCAAGTCAAGTCTCAGCCCAAGCCTGCCACCGCCGCCAAGGCCGCCAACACCGCTCGGGGCCGTGGCGCCCGCCGTGGCCGCCGTGGTGGTGCCCGTAGCTCGAACCGTCCTAAGCCGAAGAGTGTCGAAGAGCTTGATGCCGAGATGGTTGACTACTTTGCCAGCAACGAGAATGCTGGTCCCGCAGATGCCACTGCCCCTGCCGCTACCAACGGCGCTGTTCAGCAGCCTGCTACCGGTGGTGAGGATCTTGGAATGGCCGAGATTTCTGTAAGCTTCCCTGGTTCTTCTATGCTCTCCAAATGTACAGACACTGACCTGTCGTGCAGTAAATGCTTCATGATGGATCTCTTTTTTTTTTTTCTCGAGGAGTGGCAGGTCACTCCTATTGACTGAACCAACCAACTCTTGGCAAAGTCCTCTGGGAAATCCGGCCCGCTCGCCGCTTTCTTTTCAAACTACTGTTTCCGGATTCTTGCTTTCAATGTTCCCTTAACGCGATTCCTCTCCCGGCATTTGTTTTATTCCTCTTTACTTGATATGGCAGTTTCAGTTCGGCTTTTTATGGGAAACTTCGGGGTAGTCTGGATGTATTCAATAATTTCTCAACAAGCTTCGTCCGACGATTGCAATAGAAATAACCTAGTTGACTAGGCAATTGTTTCCATCACGCGTATATGAACAATATATTCTGATTCTTGTCACCGCTGTAAGGAGATACTGGCGTAACATCAAGTCCAAGTTCCATTCGGTGGACCAAAGTATCCAACATCTGGCATTGGTTTCCAGGCGACTCCCTGTCCATCCGCCGTGTTGAGGTAGACCGTGTTCCCCCACCAGTTTGGAAACACAGCACCAGGATACGAGATGCAGAAAAATATAACGATGCCGCTAAGCGCCAGGCCTGTGTCGAGAGCCGCCGCGAGGACGTAGTTGTATTTCGTCCACCAAGCAAAGAAGCGGCGCTTGATGACATGATTGAAGGCGAAGTTGACGAGAGCCCAGCTGGAGTAGTTGATACCAGTTGCTTGGGAACGCATCAGTAGCTGGCAGGACTGAGACACTGAGATCTAACGACTTACCTGGTGGGACGTTCCATGTGCCCACGAAGATGAGAGGCCAATTCATGGACTTGAAGATGCTGCGATTTGTGTACCTGTAGAGGAGGTACGTAACTACTGGAGCGAGGGCACCGATCCAGAAGAAGTGCAGGAGAGACGAGTAGATTTTGCCGGCGGAGTAGAGGCGCCGCGGGCCGACGAGACCCCAGATGACGGAGGATGAGTACACGGTTCGGCCGTTGGGGCAGGAGAAGCCGTCTGGTTGGTCCTTGGTGCAGATGCCGTCAATGTTGCCGAGCATCCAGAGTGTGACGCCGGCCTGGGTCAGGGCCCCGAGGATGGTGGCGGTCCCCTGCGCGACAAAGAGCAGCCGTGGAGGGATCTTCAGGTAGTGGCCCAGTTTCATGTCCATGGCGAAATAGACGCCTTGACCGACCACGTCCGTGCTGAGGATCTTGAAGAGCATATTTGCCAGGGGCTTGCCTTCGAACATGTAGCCGCCGATGAACTCGCTGAGGACATTGAGCTGGTTTGCGTCGACGTTGGTGATGCCCTGGACGATTCCGCAGGGCACCATGTAGAGGGCTGGGATGACGAGGGCCAGGAACACGCCGTAGACGGGGAGTTTGGTTTCGTAGACCTCAACCAGCACAATGGCGATAGCGGTCACCGCCACAATGACTGCAGCATACCAGTACCAAGGAGTTTTCCTATAGGATCTCATGAGCCTAGCATGGATGTCTAGCCTGTTTTTGCCCTTCATTGCAGCCCAGATGTCGCCCTTATGCCAGACCGCAATGTGAGTAAGCACGGACGTGATCGACGCGAAGGCGAGTCCGTAGACGAACGCGAATGTGGCGCTTAGATACGGGGGCGAGTACTGCTTGTAAGCGTCGATATTCAAGGTATTTTGGGAGCCCACAACTCGAGCTGTGTCGTATACGGCCCCTGTCCGATCATAGACATCCGCCGTCATCATTGGAAGGTAAGCAGTATACCAAGTGTTCGTGTAGTAGAGAGCAGGAACAACACCCCAGAAAAAGATTGCGAAGCCCGCGAAAACGTTGATGGCTGCCCAAGATGGAGATAGGAGGGGATTCGTATTGTACGCTACCTGGCTCCAATCGAAGGTGATGGGGCTCAAGCCAAGTCCCGTCTGCATGCCGAAAAGCTGATTGACAATAACGTTTTTAGGTGCAATCCAACAGATCCAGGTAAAATAGGAAAGGCCCGTGAAAATGAGCCCGGGAAAGAAGTACCACACGAAACCGGCTGCAGTGACATACAGAAAGAAGCGCAAGCGAGAGATCTTCCATCCATTCGCAACGGAGTTGGCGCGAGAATGGAGAGTTTCCAGCATAGCACAGTTTGACAGAACAGCTGGCCAGATAATGTTCGCGGGCTCCACGAGCCATGGCGCAGCTAAACCAGCGATGCCGAAGCCTAAAAGCTGCGCGCAGATCACAACAAGCACCGAGAAGCCCGCTTTGAGACCAAAGTTGTAGAAGTTAGAGCTCGAGGCTTGAATGATGTTGGTCGAGTCGGCACTGCCGTATCCGAAAGAGACATTACTCATGATCACGATGATGGCATGTTCCTTGATATTGAAATGATGATCTGGGTTTACGCAGAAAGAGCCCAATCGTCCGCAATGAACCGTCACTACGGGTAGTATTTTCGCGAGAAAGACGCCACATGGATAGGCAAGCAGCTCCGCAACAAGCGAGACAATGTGTACAGATGGGTAACGGAGGGAGAAGAATTGATTGATCCCAGAGCCTAGAACGGTGAAGATGGCACCGAGCATCCACATCCGGAGCGTATTGACAGGCATATGCGGATCGTCAGTTTCAGGAACCACTGCTCGGACTATACAGCTTTTGGAATTAATAGAGAATCCAGTATTCATAGCGCGCACAACAACAGACCTTCCGCAAAGGGGGAGTGTTCCGATTCGTAGTCATACTCCTGGTTCTCCTTCAAGGCGGAGTCGAGATCGACTTCAAGTTCATCCAGGCGGCCAATTTCTACCTCTGGATTATCTCCTGCGTGAGAGGTCTTGAAAATATGATCTTGAGCTTTCTCCTTAGATGCCATGGTGAGAGTTGATGCTTTCTAGCAGAGATCAAAGTCTTTGTCATGGCCCGCCAATTGATGATGATGCAAAGATAAAAAGCAACGATTTCGAATGAGTCCTCTCTCTTTTAAGCCTTGGTCTACAAAGCTTGACCTGCCCATCTGATTTTAGCCAGACTCACTTGCAGTGCGGGGTCACAAAGATAAGCCATGTTGCATCTCGAGTGGCACGGCCCATGGCGCGGCAGGACATATGGTGAGGACATGCAAATCGAAGTTACATGGCGCTTCATTTCCAAAGTGATACAATTGTCATTGATATGTGGAGGGAACCTGGTCGCATCTCCCCTCTATTTCTTGCGCTTGTCATCTGAGAGCACCAGCGGCAAGGCAGGAAGATGATGGTGAAGTTTCCCATATCGAGGATGTCTCTAGTCTCCAAGATGCAAGGTCCGACATTACTCGTTATCAGGGCGCTTTGATAAGGAACGGAGTAGTTCCTTGCTTGATAGGATGGCCGACAGCAGGCCGGCCGAGTGATAACGAATTCTCAGCTTGCTGATTGGTATAGCAATTATTCGGGCCAGACTCATTCCAAATGGCCACGATGGCGATGCATGAGATGAAGGCTTGAGATTAGAAGATGGGGAGATGATGGTCGATGGAGATGCTCTGTTACGGAGACGAGTTGGAGATGTTTGATTTGTATGCACTGCTTTCCCAAATGGGAAAGTGTCTTCATAAAAGTCAACAACACATGCATCTACCAACTTCAACATCGTCAGAGGCTGAGCTCATTGAGCAATATCTAAGAAGCTTAAACACTCATAAGCCCCCATGTTAGAATTAAAAATTTCTCAACCGCAGCAGTCAATTAGGTGAGCACTGCCCCCCAGCCTGATTCGTATGACTCACTAGAAGGCTGTGCTACAGATATTCCACATAAAAGGCACACCTGCGCTTAAAAGACCATTGAGTTTCAGTACGCAGATTTTTGCTGTGGATTGTTCATAATGAATCCAAGAGTAGGAGTTGGAGTCGTTGTCCTGAACAAGGAAGGGAAGGTTGTCCTGGGCAAGAGGAAGGGAAGCCACGGTGCCGGTACTCCTGTCTTTCACTTTCCCTCTATTTTGAGTGGATTCTGATGGTGGACTAGGAACTTGGGCATTTCCTGGCGGCCATCTTGAATTCGGCGAATCTTTCGAAGCCTGCGCAGTACGGGAAGTGCTCGAAGAGACAGGCCTCTCAATTCACGACGTACGTTTTCTGACTGCTACGAACGATGTCATGGAAGCCGAAGGAAAGCACTATATTACTGTTTATGTCGGTGCTATGGCCAAGGAAGATAACGCACAGCCACAGGTGAGCTGGAACCATCCCCCTGTCAGTGATGCCTCCCTACTAATTCGTGGTTTCAGATAATGGAGCCTGAGAAGTGTGACGAATGGCGGTGGATAAGCTGGGAAGATGTTCGGTCGTGGTTCGAGAAGCAGGTACAGACTGAGGGAATTGAGACCAGCGATGACCAACCCAGGCTATTCATTCCTCTCCTCAATCTCTTCCGACAACGGCCGACCTTTGACCCGACGAAGAGTTATGATTCTGCACAAGCATAGTACTTCTCTTTTCTGGATTTTCATCAATTGTGTGGATCTATGGTTCTTTGGCGACGACTTACCGAAGACTTCTCCTTCTTTCAAAATATACGATGAGTACATACTGTACAGTTTATGACAGGGGATGCCATCAAGGGATTCTCACCTTGGAAGATTCCCTACAATTAGGAAATTGCCAACACGAGCGGCTACTATCTGCAGCTTATTAAGGTCTGTCTAACTGGACTTGACGTCTACACCACTGGGCAGACCGAATACCTGGCTGTCTTTTTCCAACCCACATTGAGATATTCCTCCCCCCTCCGTCAAGCACATCTTAGCGCCTTCAGTCTTGAGATTTCCGGTTATCGCATAAGTCCACTTCTGGTCTTGGTGTCCAGTGCACAACTCAACAGATATTTGACTGCTTGCAGTCAAACAATGCGACGTTCTTGATAGCGGACGTAGATTTCCCAGCTCAGTCACCTGCCAAATCTGCGTGTCCGATCCTTTGCAAGCCTCGAACCCAACCCTCCCACCATCTCCATCCGTGAGACAGTTCCCCGACGCTGTATTGAACACAATCCCCGTCGGAATGACCGCAGAGCACTCCTCCGGCAAAGTGATCCTGTACACCTGCGTAGCATGCGAGTCCAGCCTGACCATCATCTCCTCCTCCACCACCTGCACCTCCCCATCCCACAGATTTTTAGCCGTATACGTACACCCCCTTTCTAGCCCTATCCACTCAACTGGCACCTTAACCATCGCCACCCCATTCCCCCGATTCAACACCGCAAGCAACCGATCCCCACCCTCCAAACTCCTCGTCAACACATCAACCTCCGCCCCCCGACTCGCCAACGTCGCCTGCAACCCCAACGCATCCTGATCAACCCTGATCAACTCCTCGTTCCTCAGGATCGCCAACTCTTCTTCCGAGAGCCCCGGAATATACGCACTAATAATCAATGGCGCTGAAAACGACGCCCACAGTGCAAAGTGCGAGCGTTTCTCCTCAAGCGTCAACCCAGGATGATCCGATATCAAAAAGTCCGGATCATTAAAGTACCCGGGCCGCTGGTATCGCGCCAGCAGCGTGTTATAGTGATAGTTCACCATGATACTGTCCCAGGCGCTGCCCTGTCCGACATAAACGAGGATATCAGTTGAGTGACGCGCCAATTCCCCAAAGGCAGGGACCCAATCCATGACCTCGTACCAGGAGGTCAAATTGGGGGTTTCGGCAAAGTAGGCCGGAGCGCTTTCGGAGAAGATGAGCGGGGGGTGCATCTGCTGCAAGACCGCATGCCAGTGTGCGTAGCGGGCTTTGTACTCTTCTTCTAAGGTGCGGGAGTGCTCCGGGAAGACGTTGCACCCGTCTAGCTTTAGATAGTCAATTCCCCAGGCTGCGAAGGTTTGGGCGTCGATGGCCTCGTGTCCGAATGAGCCGGGATACCCGCCGCAGGTAAGGTTTCCTGCATCCTGGTAGATGCCTAGGTGGAAGCCTTGGGCTTTGAGGTGGTGGGCGAGCCAGGGGATGCCGTGGGGAAATTTGGTCGTGTTCCATTGGAGGGAGGAGTCTGGGGCGCGCTCGTAGGCCATCCAGCAGTCGTCTAGGTTGAGGCGGTTGTAGCCTGCTTCCTGGAGGCCGGTTGAGATCATTGCGGACGCGGTTTCGACGAAGAGCGTCTCGTTGAGGTCGCACATGAAGCGGGCCCAATTGTTGAAGCCCATTGGGGGCGTAGGTAGGAGATTGGGGAAGGAGACTGACCCCAGGGAGAGGGGGAACATTATTGGTATTAGGGTATATAGGAGGGATTTTGTTGTGTGCATTGTGATATGTCTACGTTGGCCCTGATAGACGGTCAATTATTTGCGAGTATTCGGGGCTTATATACCTGATGAGGATTCCCCGCATCGATCTGCAAGGGGAGGATGTTTGTCATGATATGCAGGCATGGTGATACTACCGTGTCATTGCAGAGAGGGGAAGAGATGGTCGATTATCATTTGATAAAATGAATACTCAGATTTAGTCAACTTCTACCAGTTCCTATTATGCAATGCCTGTTCTAGTCAGTAATCAGTTTAAACTTGGCTTTTGCATAAGCGGTACAAGCTCATTTGGCTCAATTGATGCCTACCTTCAACAGCTTTGAGCTTCTTCTGCTAGCCAGATATAGAAGTTTGTACAAACATGTACAAAGATTTCTCTTGTTGTGTACTCAGTCACAGCTTGGTCTATCAACCAGTCCAACCCCGGTAAAGCCACCAAAAAAGTAAGCGATTTCCCTCCTCAAGGCTACTAGGAAATCCTTCCTGATGGTTGATGGCGTCTAATCCAATCAGCTATTGCAGATGACCCGATTGCACAAAACTCACCTAGAATCCTCTTTGGAATAGGCAATCCCAATGAATCCATGCGCTGATCCAATTGCTCCATAGCCATTGCGCCAACCTTCCGAAACTGTTCTGGAAGACGCAACACCCACGAAACCCACAACCACAAGACAATATCCCTGGGCCGGACAACAGAGGAGCACGTCGGCTTCAAAAAAGCATGCCAAGACAGCGCCATGAACTGGATGGCATCTATACACTGATAATAGTCGGCGATGACGGTTATCTTTGCCAAGAGCTCTAGCCCTACTTTCCAGGGCAAATCGCGGTGCTGTCCGTGTATAACGTTTAGGAAGATCAAGAGCGCCTGATCATCCCAGTCGTACACGGTGAATGTGACGGAACCTTGTGTGCCTAGGGTGTGGGTCTCCTTCCACCCTCTTGTCATTGCTGCGCGGAAGAACGGAGAGGCGAGTATCAGATGTCGTGATGAGACTTGGTAGGTGTATTCGTCGTTGAATGCGGGTTTGCCTATGCAGTTAACTTGCGCTCGTGTCCAGGGAAGTATAACATACGTTCATATTCACTCAGAATACGTTCGCCTTCGCTCATTCTCCGTGGACGATGGCGTTGGCGTCGAGTAGGCACTCTCGTGAGACCGGTTGCTTCCAATAGGGAAACATGAGTCTCTGATGCTGCAGACTTTGGTGGTTCGTTCTGGTCGTCCTGAGCAACGATAGTTAGGTCAAGGAGCGAGTCGACTGCTTGTTCGTTGTTCAACGGATTCCACTGTCTTGATCCGAACCACGAGGGTAATTCGTCTTCCTCTCCATAGTCCCATTCTTCAGATATAGCAAAGCAAGCATTTGGGTCGAGCAGTTTTATAATCACATCCCCGTTGGGATCGATGATGTGTGTAGGGTACTTCATTTGAGATGCAGAGCTGACTGTTCGTAGGACTGGGACACAGGAGCATATCTAGTATTATAGATGAGGCTAAGGAGTCTCAAACAAAGGAGCACCCATTTTGTAAATCTTTGTACAAGCAATGAATGAAGTTTTTTGTAACAACACAGATTCTCAAGTGGGATTGACTCAGTGGGTGAATGGAGTCTATCGATAGTAAGAAAATCCATTGACCACAAATTCACGAAATCTGCACAGCCGCTAAACCTCAAGTAGAGCCTTGAAAGCAGACAACAAGTCCATCTTCAGGTCCTGCCAATCCTCCAACCCAACACTGATCCTCAGCAACTTCCGATCTACTCTGGAATCCGACAACGCCCGCCACTCAATCAATGACTCAACACCGCCCAAACTTGTCGCATGCTGGAACAAAGCGAGCTTGCTGGGCAACGTCTTTGCAATCTTCTCATCCCTCATGACAATCGCAAACACAGGCCCAGACCCATTCGGCATCTGCCTCTTCAACCACTCCTCATCCTGCAAACTGGAATGGTAGATCTTCACCAGCACCTTTTGCACAATCTCCTCCTCACTCCCCGGTGCCGGGTTCGTCGCCGTCAACGCGCCATTCAGCCAAGAAATCAACTTGGCCGAGTTCTGACTCGCTCTCTGCACCCTAACCTCCAGCGTACGCAGACTACGCACACCGAGCCAGCTCTCCAGGTTCCCCATAACATGGCCGAGCGCGACCCTATCCTCGAGCAGCTGGCGATGCCACTCTGCACGCTTGACACCCAGCACACCGCAGAGCATATCGCTATGGCCGCCGAAATACTTGGACCCGGAGTGCAGCACGATATCCGCACCCCAGAGGAAGGGATCTTGCAAACCTGGCGGAGCAAAGGTGCTGTCGACGATGAGGTAGGCTCCCCGGGAGTGAGCCTTCTGCGCGTACGCTTCGATGCTGAATGCAGTGCCGAGTGGGTTCACCGGCGTCTCGAGGAGGATCACATCGCCTTGTTCGAGGTCTTCGGCGGCACAGTCCAGGGGGAGCTTCTTGAGCCCTGTGAGCCGAGTGAGCACACCGATGACTTCGTGGCTGCCGTGGTAGCCTTCGCCGACGGAGATGCGTCGGGGGTTCAGCAGCACCAGGGCTGCGTGTAGCGCAGCTAGGCCGGTGGCATAGCTGACAGCGTGGCTACCAAGCAAGGTGGAGAGAATTGCCTCAAAGCGGGTTGCGTTGGGGGCAAACTCTCGCGAGTAGACGTAGTTCTTGCCGTCGAATTCGGCCTGGGAATGTTAGTTGAATCCTGTAGTGGGTTTTTGGGGGGCTTACGATGGGATCCTCGGACGGAATCAATTGATCAGGGTCATTGGAGTATCGAAATGTGGTCGATAGATGGATTGGAGGTGCGACATCTGTCACCAAGTTGAGCCGATCGTCGGCATGCAGTGCCTTAGTGGCAGGGTGGCTGTCTTGCGAAAGAGGCATCTTGCTGGAGTGAGTATGGTGGGAAAATTGAGAAGCTGATAAAGAATGCGATTTACTCATATTTATAAGATGCACACTGTGCAGAGCACATCTGATAGTACTGGCATCCAGTAAGGCTCCACTCCCCAGAATTTCCTAAAATGGACGTGGTGACGATTTTCAACGATCGATTGATGGTAAAGCACAGACACTGAGAGGCTATTGGCTGTAGAAGATGCCCCACTCCTGTCAACTGCTGGAAAGGGAATAGCCCAGAGATCCGTCTTTCTATTGGCCACCGGCTTTTCTCCGATGAATCTAGTTTGACCAATCATGGTGCAGACATTCCACCCTCGAAATCTGCCATTTGTAATGTCTTTCTGCATTGGTCTGCGACAGTTATGACTCCTAGCAGTTCCCGAGGGCGTGCGCCCTGTGCCGACATAATCTGACTCGGCGTCATGAGCCAATTGAATACAGCGATATCCCGACCATGACTCTGCTCAACTGGTCAGACAATCGAGGATATATAACCTCGTCCCTTGCAACGACGTGACAATAACCATCTGACATTCAAAGACGCCAAAACACAATGTATCTCCGCGCCGTCCACGCCGAAACGCACATTCCCCTCCTCCAACAGTTCATCCGCGACAATCCCCTCGGGATCCTCACAACCGCCATCAAATCCCCCAACTACCCTCTCCTGCAATCGAGCCACATCCCCTTCGTCATCGACATCCCAGACTCCCCCACCAACAATGCCGATTCCGATCCCGTCCCAGGGACTCTCCGCGGACACATCGCCAAACAAAACCCGCAAGCAAAAGCCCTAATGGAAGCTCTGGCCCAGCACCAAGCAGAAACCCAGTCCACGACGCTTGAACTCCCCGACGAAGTCCTCATCCTGTTCAACGGCCCACACCACCACTACGTCACCCCTAAATTCTACAAAGAGACAAAACCCGCAACGGGCAAGGTTGTGCCCACCTGGAACTACGCCGCCGTGCAGGCCTACGGCAAGATCACCGTGTACTGCGACTCCAAGGCCGAGGAGACGGGTGCGTTCCTGTCGCGCCAGGTGAATGATTTATCGCGGCATGCGGAGACTTCGGTTATGGGGTACACCGGGGGCGAGAGGCCGGGGCCGTGGGAGGTGAGCGATGCGCCAGAGACATATGTGGAGCTTCTCAAGAAGAATATTATTGGGGTGCAGGTGAAGATTGAGCGGTTGCAGGGGAAGTTCAAGATGAGTCAGGAAATGGGGGTGGGTGATCGGGAGGGGGTGATTGAGGGGTTTGAGAAGCTGGGGATGGAGGTTGGGATGGGCATAGCGAAGACTGTGAAGGAGAGGGGAGAACTGAAGGACAAGAAATAGCTTTTTCCTATAGATCGTAAATAGTATTGACGTTGGCAATGGTCCTTAGAGTGATTTCCCGATTAGGAAATGCTTGTAGATAAGCTCTCAGATAAGCACGTGATAGTTCCAGACCCCTCGTTCTTGGCACGTGCGTCCTCCGTCTTGCACATCCATGAAACCATCGTCCATACTCTGCATCTCTTTTTTCCCATCTTTGATAAAGCTGTCATCCATTTGGTAGATGTATATATCTGAGCTGAGCTCCAAATGATCATGTCATGAAGATAATACCATTTGCTAAATCCGCAGCTGATGTATCACGTCTACGATGGTCGAAAGTCCAATGATTGAAGCATGTTACACCTGCCGGTATCGGCGAATACAATGCGACAGATCCGGTATTCCCTGCAGAAAATGCGAAAAGGGTGGATTCGAATGTCACCAGAAACGACCCATCAGATGGGTCAAGGGTGTCGCCATCCGAGGCAAGATGCAGGGTGTGTCGTACAGCCGCTTAAATAGCCCTGCAGCGGATGAGCAGGGCCTGATCAAGTTGAGACGTGAAGGTAAGCTCTGCCACTACTTCCTGCTGCACCGTGTCTTACCATTTCAGATCAACAAGATTTGCCTGCCGGCTTAGGGGACGTATCCGTTTCGAGCTTGGACCGAGTGTCGAAGTACTATCTCGACTATTGTAAGTGAGCCAGCTGGTCAAAATACTAAGCTAACGATGAGAAGATAATGATCGTATATGCAAGCTCTTCATTGTCTATGACAGTAACCACAACCCATTCAGAAATCTGATCTCACTTGCCGTAAAGGATCAACTCCTGCTCAGTGCGGTTCTTGCTCTCGCAGCAAGGCACAGAGCGAATGAAGGTCAGACCTTTAATGGCATCGAAGCACCAGTCCCTTGGATGGATAATGCTCAACAAGATGCACTTGTGTTTAAACATCAGGCGATACAAGGCCTGTCGCAAATCATCGGTGATCCAGGCTCTTGCAGAACAGATTCAACTGTTGCGAGCATTTTCCTCCTCATCTTCCTTGATCTGGTAGAGTCAGGAAACGATCGGTGGAATGTCCATCTGGAAGGCGCAAAGGCTCTATTGTCCTTGAGCAAGTCGTTGTCACAAGTCAACGATCCCGGCTGGACAGTGCAGGAAATACGGAGCTTTATCACCAAGCAGATTTACCTGTATGTACCTCCTGGCTCAAAAACTGTTCAAATACTCATGCAAACTAGAATCGAGACGCTGGGTGCGACGTTTGTACGACCGAATCTACTATCACAATTTCCTCCTGCGAACGAAGTAGAAATGGGCCCAGATACCGTCGAACAGTCATTTCTCGGCTGTCCGGAGCAGCTTCTCAACGCTGTTCAATTCTTCTCTCTCCAACGAGATCTTGCTAGTGCCGGACAAGGGTCAGACGCTTGTATCCGCAACAGTTCTTTCATGGTGGAATCCGTCCGCAGCTTTGACAGTCATTCCTGGGCTGCAAATCTCCCTCAGTCCACAAGACATGCTACCCACAATCTAGCGACTCTTGCCCAGTGCTACAAGCTTGGTGCTCTCGTCTACGGCCAGCGAGTCCTAGATATGCTTCTTGATCAAGACACTTCACAACACGAAGTGGTGCAAAACCTCTTTGCCAGCATCGAAGCTCTCAAAGAGGACGCCACATTGTTCAAGTGCATCCTGTGGCCCATTTTTGTTGCTGGTCTTGAATGTCGCTCCTCGATCGAACAAGACTTTGTCACGCGAGCTTTGGAGAAGTTCTGGACGGTCACCCGGTGTTTGAACACGGTCAACGCTGGGAAGATCTTGCAGTCATACTGGCAGACTCAGAATTGCAACGAGAACACACTCTCGAATTGGGTACTTGATATAGGACAATTAGGGGAGGACTGGCTACTCATTTGATCAACGTGAAGCTCATACACAACTGACATTAAGGTTCCATCGACTGCAACAGATGACAAAGTCCACTATATTACAGAATTACATCAAACCCGCCTGGTACAATCCCAAAGCACGGATATGCGGATTCAACATGGTCAGGTTGTACGGTGTGGCAAACATATCCGTATCCGTGATCGCAATAAAAGCCGTACCGTTCAGGGCTGGATCCGTCTCAAACACCTCACTCGCCGGCTGATAGGTATATCCCTTATTCTGTCCGGTTGCAGTCAACTCGGTATAGGTCAAGCTCAACTGCGACAACCAAGCCACGAACGAGGGCTGGCCCGCCGTCGTTGAGGTGACGTAGCTGTTATTCGGCCCCACAGCACGACCTGGGTCATTCCAGGTGAGCTCGACTTTGCGTCCGGGGAATGTGAGCGGTTCATACTTGTCGCGAGAAATGGCGGGGCCGCAATTATAGCCCGTGACATTGTTGTGGATGCAGGACTGGGTCCTTGGAGTTGAGATGGCTCAGCCAGCCCCAGGTGCCGGACTCACCCCAGCGGGTGACTTTGACGTTGAAGTCGATGAACTCGCGGACCGTCTTGAAAGGATAATTGTACGTGCATTGTCGTGGGGCGGACTCACCCAGCATGTTGCTCAGTAGCGTGGCGTGGCCAGCCTCCTGTATGGCCATGTATTCGATCAGGCGGCGGTCCTCGACAGTGAGACCGGCATCGAGAAAGTCCTGCTCGCTGAAGACTTCGAGACCGTAGTGGAAAAGGCCCAGCTCGATGTATTCCTGGTGCACTCCCAGGGCGACGGACTGCTAGTCATAGTCGCTCTGCACCATGTACACGGGCACGGTGCCGTTAGTTCCCACACCGCCCGCGGGCATGTATGGCATGGGCATGGGCTCGGTCAGCTTGCCATTGGCATTGTAGTACGTGGCGGTCGGATTGGGCTGAATGGGGATGGTCGCCGCCACCGTGGAGGGATACTGCTCAGCGCCGGTGGTGGTCGGGGTGCCAGAGTAGGGACCGTGGGTGGTTACCCCAGTCGTGGCACCGTTGACCAGCGGAGGAACCGCACCGGATTGATTACTACGGGGCGGTTGAGTCTTAACTGCGGGGATGTCAATAACTTTTGTGCCTGAGTCGGACGCAAGGGGCACGGCTACGGCAGAGCCAGCAAGTGTCCAGATGAGGGACTTCATCTTGATGTTGGGAGTCTGTTGGTCCACGGTTCAAGGTTCACAGTTTCAAGGGGCACTTGACTGCTTTTATAGCTGTCTGGTCTCGAACTAGTAGCAGCATTGTCATGGTATATACGACTATGGATCCAGACCTGTGGACTTATCAATCAGTACTGACTCAAGCTTGGAAAGAACAGACCAAGTGGTCATGGCTATGAAACTTGCTGGCAGTACTGCATGATGACGGATGTCAGAGCTACAGCGACTGGAGAACTGGGCTGTGGACTTTCGGGCCAGAATGGAAATGTAATGTATCTAGCAAGACCAATTCATGTGTAAACATATTGGGTTTTACGACACTTGTCCGCGCCCAATGAACTCATTCTCTGAGCTAAGGGATTGGGGGTAGTCATCAGATCTCAGCATTCGATCTAGAACGCCTTGCAATGCGAATCTCCTTCCTTTCGTTACATGGTATTGCCATCTTTGGAATAGCTCCAAGCCCTCTCAAACTCATTCCAACCCCCAGGCGGTGCGTCCCACATGGCCAATTCACGAACCACTAGGTCGTAGCATCCATCACTGGGCAAATTTCCCTGACAAACATTTCCTCCAACAGCGATGTTGATGAGGATTCTGAACTCACTCATCTTCCTGGTGCCAGGCGGCTTCTCGGCTCTCATGATGGGCCTGCCATCAATCAGCCAGACCAAGCGCCCTCTGCCTGTTGTTTCGTCCTCATCCCAGATAAAATGGTAACTCACTCCCGCCAGCGAGTTAATGTTGGGGATGGGGGTTTCGAGAACGCGATGCTTGTCCCAGTCCTGACCGTTGAAGTGACCCCAATGCAGACAGGTGTGGTTGACAGCATCGCCGTTCCACGCTTCCATGATGTCGACTTCACCATCCTCGGGCCACTTGAAGGGGTCTTTAGGCAGCAGCCAAAAGGCAGGCCAGATACCTCGTGCTACCGGCGCCGTAATTCTGGCTGACAGACAGCCCCGTGGTCGACTGAGGGTCTGGTGACTCGACAGCCTGGCGCTGGTAAATTTCTGGGCAGGGTCGGGATGCCCGTGGTTGATCAGAGCGCGCACGATCACCGCATCGCCCTGGGGTGAATGGAATGAGTTTTGCGGGCTGTCGATATAATTCTGCGACTCATTGTTGCCCCATCCATGTTGACCCTGTTCATGGTAGAAGTTGGTGGACACCGGCACTTGGGGATGTAGATTGGGCCGCCAATAGATCTGGGGTTGCGAGCCCTGCTCCTGATAAGCTGGTGGTTTAGTGGAGGCTGGAATAGGTGGTGGGGGAGGCCTGTTGTAGGATGGTCCCGGCTTGGGGGCGGGATGGCTGAATTCCTCCCAAGCCTTGTCTGCCTTATCGATAATGCCCTGAAGCGCCTGTCTGAATGGCATGTTGAGAATGACCTCGGTATAGATGTTAGTTGCACAAGTAGCGAGGACGCGGAAAAGAGACGGTAAGCAAAGCTTACGTCATATTGTGGATATCTAGGCATCGTATGTCAGATAGTACCAGTTCTTAGCTAGATGGAGTATGTACTACGCAGCGCTAACATTGAAGCAATCGCTTAGCTAAAATCTAAAATCTGAAAACTCTTCTTCTCTTCGATCACTAAGCCCCGGTAGTGGTGATAATCTAGCAACTACTTTTCTCGGCCTGCTAGTAATGTATGCCTTAGGCACTAATAATATGCAAACTCTACAAACCTCTATTGGAAACTTTAGCAACACAAGAGGTTAAACCTAGCAGCCACATCATTGCAAATCTTATCTCGGCATAATCAATATAATCAACACCACGTGCCTCTCTGTTCGCACTATCTCCGTATGGCAGACCCGTGGCATGGCCGTCCTCCTGCAACAGAACTCTCTAGAGCAGAGCGTTTCAAAGCTACGCACCTCGCCGCGCGCCATGGCAACTACCACCAATATTACGCCAAGTTCCGGGCGCCCACTGTCCCAGACGAACGCCTTTCTATTCTTCCATCAGAGATCCTCTGCAACGCGCGAGTCATAGACCTCGGCTGCAACGCGGGCAAACTGACCTATGAGGTGATAGCGCACTGCGGCGCAGCCTCCGCAGTCGGCGTCGATATCGACCCATGGCTGGTCGAGCAGGCGAAGGCGGCATATCCGGACGGGCCGTGCACATTTGAGCACTTTGACTTCGTGGATGCGTCCGCATATAAGGGCACCGCGCTGGGCAAGTTCGACGTTGTCCTACTGCTCTCTGTGACCAAGTGGATTCATCTGAACAACGGGGACGCCGGGATATTGACGCTATTTGCGCATATACGAAGTATACTGAATGAGGGGGGTTATCTCGTTATTGAGCCGCAGCCTATGAGCAATTATGCGAGGGCTTCGAAGAAAAATAAAGAATTGAGAGAGATGTATAAGACTATCCAGATTAAACCACCGTTTGATGATGAGTTGAAAGCGCGGGGATTTGAGAGGATACATAATTTTGAGAGGGACGAGGAAGGGTTTGCTAGGCCTGTGCATGTTTGGAGGAAAAAAGTATCATAATATGAACAATGGCGAACAGTAGGGACACCATTAGCGGCGCTATCGGAAAGCGAACACTTAAAAGGCCGCCAGGACGATCAGACAACTGGTTCCATTCGCAGCCCCTATGCCAGTCCATCTACTTGCAGTCCCTCGCCTAGCGTGCATGAGACCGGGCCTGACCTGATGAGCCATCCACCGGAAGAGATACCCTTAGACTGCTCTGCTGTCGGAGTGGAAGATCGGCGGAGAGGGCTTTATTCCGGGTGAGGAACTCGACGTCTTCCCTGGAAGCCGTTAGCATGTAACTACTTTGAGCAGAGCCATGGCCATGGCATACTTGGTAAATATGTCGTTCGTGACAGCTGCAATGTTGTACTCGTCTCTCAATGCGCGGCTGAGTGCGGGCATCAGCGTCATCTTACCAGACCCAACCGGCCTGCTGTTAGTTAGCTTGATTCTTGCTAGCTCAAGGGGATATGATTACCCTCCGATGCCGACGGTAAGAGGGGCTTTTATCGTTCTAGGTGAGAGCCTGGGCCGTCGAGGATCTCGTGCGAGTGACCGTGGCCATTGTCGACGCCGTTGTGGCTGTGGTCGTGAGAGTGAGTCATGTTTTACTGACAGAAATGAGGGATATGACCGAATGCAAGGCAAGCGGATGAAAGATAGATGCATCAGTAAGGGCCTATAGGTAGCTGAAGATCTGGGTGTATGTATAGATTGGGAGGGAGTACACTACAAGACAATGGGCGATGTTACTGTATAGTAAATTCTCTTTATTTAGCTACTTCTGCAAAATTTCGCAATACAGTACTCACATATGTGATCAAACATATCACTTATTAGACCTTCCAATCTGTGAGGACAGTAACCATCAACTCCTGATGTTAATGACCAAAACGGACGGCCCGCGTCGTCAGGTCTGCATAGGTAGGATGCTCCAGCACGCCATCCAGATCAATATACAGTACAAGCAATGGCTGCAGTGGGATGGCAAGACATTGAAGACGCTGGCTGGTGCGGTGTTGTGATCCATGAGATGGACAATCTTAGGCCATCTCATCCCAATGGAAGGATTCTCCAAGAGTAGACAGGAAGTACAGCGTGTAACATGATGCATTTGTACATATGTATGCGATATCAGTACATCTTGGCACCACCCACAAACCCATCCCCTCCAACACCATACCCCTGCTTCCAACCACTTTTCTTCCTCTCTTCGCGGATCTTCCAGAATATCGATCCCTGTCGCATGTCAGCATCATCACCTTCACCGCTCGAAAATGACTTACATCATAAACCCCCCTCAAATCCTCCTTGTAGACCCGTCCATCACGCTGAATCAACAGCCACGTCGTTCCCCATTCGAAGAACGCAGCACCCCACTACCAGCCGTAAGCCTCACACTCCTCAACCAAATCAAGTGAACCAGAGGAAAAGACATACCCCAAAGGGATCCATGGCACACCGATTCCCATGCATCATCTCAAACAGCTCTCCCAGGGTCAACGACCCGTCTTGATCCCGATCATACTTGGCAAACATATCCTCGAAATGCTGCGGGATGAACCGTCCTTCAGGATCATACGTCCCGCTATCGGAGCCATGCTGCTCACGTTCATCAGCTCCATCCTTGCTGTAGAGGGGGAATAAACTCACCTTAGCTTTGTATATACTGTCAACGTAAACCCTAAACCACAAATCCGGAATAACCGAATGCGCCAACCGCGTCGGATACGAGAAATTCAAATTGATGATCAGCACCGCCAGCAGCGAGAAAAGGATGTTGAAGCCTAGCTCGCGGAAGCCGTTGTATGTGTCTAGCGGGTAGATCTGCCCGTCGTGGTCGCGGTCCCAGAAGAGGACGTGTTGTTGTAATGGGGTCTAATTGGTCAGCTTTCCTGGAGCATTGCTTTCTGGAGCTTGGGGGAGAAATACGTAGTCGCCATATTTGGCAATGTAGTCTGCATCGCCATTGGGTTTGTCGATTGAGATGGCGGCGTTGGCGCGGGCAATGCCGGGGTTAGGGATGGAGGTTGGGGTGGATGTTGCGGGGGTGCGTTTGGATGTGACGGGGCAGTTTGGGGCTGTTGTTTGGATTTTGTCGTTGTTGAGGGCAGATTGGGGGATGAGGTCTGGTACGCTGGGCATTTTGTGTGGTTAGGACGTTCAAAGGGAGGAAATTGAATTGAGTATGTCGATGGTGAGGGTGAGGGCAATGGATCGCAGTTAAGTATTATACTAGGAGAATCACATGCAAATTGATCAGGCAATCAGGACTTTTGTATTATCCTACATTCATATCAGATAGCTTATAAACATCTTGTTTATCAGATAGAGAATGACGTTTGTTCGGGGCGGGTGTGATGTCATTTTATAGTCTCAAGAGTGGAGCTATCAAACATATCTTCCAGGGTGAGACATTCATACAATGGAGTTTTACTATAGATGAACCATATCAGAAGGCCACTACTACTAGCACCATGCGATTATTGGACTATACATGGGTTGGACTGCAGCTTCCATGTGACAGGTAGGACAAATCCATTTATTATCAGACCACTGCGAGTAGTCCTAGGGACATCTTATTCTCCCATAATTTTCTCAGTGTTAGGTGTATAGTCCCACTGCCATCTTATCCGGATTCAGAGCAGCACAGGATGAACGGACTAGCAGGCCAGGTGATGCGTGGATCCTTTGAAATGGGTGTTGAAGTTATATTTATAGCTGGATTGCCTGGTTTATCTGCTGACAGAGCGTCAACGATTCATGATTGACGATATATGAGAGGATTATAATCTCGTCCGGTGCTCTATTGCATTGTGAACATCAATTTCATTGCTTGTTGAAGCTGGAAGAAATGACCTACAGCCCAGAAGAGATGCCCAATGAACTAGGAAGGAGTCTGTCTGTGAAAACTGTCGACTGAGTTGCCTGCGGAAATATATTCTTTTAATTGATCCACTCTATGGTTGCAAGCTGAGGGCATGATCCTCACACAGCAGCGAAAGCAAATGGATCCCTCGTCCCATCCTCCTCCTCGTCCCAAACATACTCAATCTCTTGAGCTATCCCGCTAGCCACATCCTTCCCATGTATATCCCTTACAAAAGCTAACATCATATCGATCCCCGCACTCACCCCAGAGGAAGTCCACACATTCCCATCGGCCACCCACCTGGCCTCTCTGACCCAGCGCACCTCCCCCCTCAGCGCCGTCGTCGGCCCCCAAAGCATCTTATTAGTCGTCGCTCGTCTACCATCCAGCACGCCCGCCCGCGCTAACACGCCCGCCCCGTTACACACGGACATGATGTATTTCACCGACGGGGCGATGCCCCGCACGAAGTCGATGACGGGATCGATGGTGTGCGGGAAGCGGGTCCCCGCGCCGCCGGGCACGACGAGCACGTCTATCTGGCCCTTGGCGCTATCAGGCGGCGCGGGTGCGTCTTTCAAAAAGTCGGCGAAAGTACCCGTTGGAAGTACTTCCTGGGCGCAGATCGAGCCTGCCTGATGTGCGGCTGGATCTGGGGATCGAGTTGAGACGGGGGCGAGGCTTGATGCGAGGAGGGAGAGGTAGATCTGTTTTTCTGCGGAGAGGACGTTGAGGACTTCCAGGGAGCCGAAGACGTCGAGGGCTTCGAAGCCGGGGAAGAGGAGCGTAGCGAAATGCATGTTGGGTGAGTTGTGTATGGTAGGAGGGGATTCTCAGCTTTACTGGTGAGATTACCTTTCCTCTTAGAGTCACTGAAGGAGCGAGATCGTTTAATTTATATCTTCTGTATAAGCAGTCCTGTCATTCAGACATGTCGGTCTCCAGAGCTTGGCGTTGTTGGCGCCCTCGCGCGGAGATAATCAAGGCCGACATGGAGGAGTGAGTCATGTTCATGAAACCATCACTCTTGGCACTATGGCACTGAGGAACATTGGCATATCAAACAGTAGCCATGAGCTATTTACAGATGGCATGAATAACAGTATCAAGAATGCAAAAGTACAATAATTAGCTTGGGTATATTCATCTCCCATGCTCCATAGTCTGGGAGTTGCTGAACACATCGTATGCTATGCAATGCTATGCCATCTAAGCCGAATCATTCTGCCTCCCATAAATAAAAGCACATACACAAGTCGCATTATCGCTCATCGGCCGTCCCGTCGCCTCCGTCGTGATCCTGCCCGCAACGCCCGCCGCTTGCGTCCCATAATTCCAATGCGCCACGGCCCGATCAAGAATCCTCCGGTCCTCCATCTCATCCGTCACCCCATCCGTCGTAAGAATAACGATGTACTTCCCGTCCTCCTTGAGCTCAATCCGTGAGATATCCGGTCGGTTGGACAGCAGATTCCCCTGTTCCTTGTCCGGGTTGAACCCGGCGATCTCCTGCTCGAGTGAGAATGGCTCATCCGCGTTGATCAGCGGCGCTTTGTATTGGAGGTCCCCCAGCGCGCGGGACATATTCAATGCGCCTACGCCTGCGCATTAGCAATTGATGGCACTGAGAGGGAGAGGGCGAGAAATACCTATTCGCGGGGACCCAAGCTCCCGATTCACAACTCCCCCGGCCTCTTTGATGCGTTCCCTTTCAGCTTCGGAACCCGGCTTGTGTGCTTTTGTGATGCGCTTCTACGATAGCATTAGCGCCGTCTGACCAAACCGTAATGAAAACAAAAACTCACCACCTTCCAGCCATTGGGATGGTGCTCGGCGAGCAGAACGTGCGAGTCGCCTAGGTTTCCCACGACTAGAACCCCATCGGTGAGATTCACCAAGCAAATGCAGAAGGTTGAGCCGGATTTGCCAAACACCTCGTTCCCCGCATTGAATTGATCCAGGAGGAGTTTGTCCTCTTTCTCGACGGCGTCCTCAATGGCTTTCTCGTAGTTGCCTGTTTGGATGTGGGGGGATTCGAGGATGAGACGGTGGAGGTGATGTTTGGCGTGGAGGGAGACGTCGGATGTTACGCTGCAGGATTCAGTATTTACCACGACGATTTTATGGTCGCGTGGACGCTTACTGGCCGTCGTAGACTCCGAGGAAGAGGAGAGTCTTTTCTGTCTTGAGGGGCATCTGTTTGGGGAGGAGGATGGTGTACTGGTCTTGCTGCGAGGGTCGAGATCCTAAGGCCTATTTTTCTTAGTTTCGATCGACAGTAGACAGTAGGCAGTAGACTTAGGCTTAGGCTTAGGCTTGGGCTTACACTATTCCCTCCCGCATCCTTGAGGGTAAGCTTATCGTCTGATGCAGAACTTGATAGAGGACCCATTTTGCTTTCCGCTTAGGAGAGATAGAGTGCAGTTCTGCAGTTGTGTTTATCTACAGACAGTAGATGTAGAAGTAGTAAAGTAGAAACTCGCATCACCAGTGCAAAAGATCTACGACTTGTCAGGAGCTAAAATAAAATAAGTCGGTATCATGATTCGCCTCTAAAATATCCTGCTCTGTCCTTGTCAGATAAAAAAAGAAAGACAAGACTAAGATAAGATATAGACTACGCAACTGTGATGTCATCATCTTCCCCATGGATTATCAGCTTCATCCTATGCAATATTATATTATATTCATTTACACTCATTCACTAACAATATCAGATCATCAATTGTCTGCATTCAATGGGCTTAATGTAGTAATGTACAGAGTAAGGTAATAGTTATACATCGCTAAACCCTAGGCCGCCGTGACCTCTGCTCATCCTCCGGCCCCATCTTCCTCCTCCCCACCTTTTCCACATTCTCCCTCTTCTTCTCTGTCGGCTCATTGGGATCATTCTTGATCATTGCATCCGCACTTGTCTGCTCCTCGCCCTCGTGCGCCTCCGACGGTTGTGCCCTGTGCATCGAGACCGGGGATTGCACCGACCGTGTATCTGCTTCGTCGGAGTGCCCCGCCTCCCTCCCGCGGGACTTGTTGATAGATTGAGCCTGGGGGTTGCTGGAGATGGGATTTCCAGATGGTCTTGTGGCGAGGAATCGGGCATCTAATTTCTGTCAGTGCCGGTTGATGATCGGGAGTTGATGGGGAGGCCACTCATGTACTTACGGGTGTAAGGTCTCAGCGACCGAGAGATCGGGATTCGAATTGGAGGCATTTTGATGATGCTGATGAAGATGTTGTGTTGTAGTTGTTTGGCTGATTGGAGTAGATGTGCTGGTTTTGTGGTTATATATGCTTGGGTGGGGATGACTTCATTCGCCGTCACTGGGTTGTCATCCTCCCTGAAGCAAGAACAAGCTTGGTGTTTCCTGATCTAATAGTGGTTAAACAAACTGGCTTGATGGCAACGTCTTTTTACACACTCCCCAAAGACCGGCTTGTAGTACTCCAATCGATCGTGAACGCCTTAATAGTATTTCTGTGCGCGCAGCAAATGCGTCTGTAGGACAGACAGGTTGTCAACCGGACATCTGCTAGGGTGCAGCGCCTCGATTCGCGCTGGCCGGGGAGCATTTGGGCTGCGAATCGGTCCAAACAGCTCATTCTTCGTCTTTGAGCTGGTATGGATGGCCGCCGTGGTCATTCCCAGGATAGAAACCAAGATAGGAGAGGTCATCATGATCGTGGCTGAACCGAACACTCCACATGTGGTCAATAAGGTCGGCGTCATTCTGGGCGGACGCCGAGTACAAATTAATGATATCAGGAGCGTACTGGAGTCGACAATTTTGGGGGAGTCCTAGAGCGCATAAGATGGACAGGTATCTGTGGAAGCTTGGGATGGCGCCGTTGAATTAACCAATTCTACCGTTCATGATACTACATATGACACCGATATTGACTGTTGCCGAAATGGACGGAACTATACTAGTTCTAAGAGCAGGTAAAGATGGAATCATTAGTACTGAACATACTATCAAGTACTACCCTTATGTAACTGCTTACACTTAAACACGCGCAACCGACGAATGGGGAAGACATGGCCAGGCCTGGAGAACTTGTACTTTCCAGTACAGCACGACGAGCATCGGAGCAGACATTCTTGGATATGTGTGAGGCTAGTCTACATTGCCAGCTTCACACCTGGAAATCATACTACTGCTGTTTGTCATGAAGACAAGAGAATAACCTGGATACCACTGAGCTCGCTTTGGCGAGGCATTCGGCGCCCTCTAACTAGACAGACTTTTCCATGACCATCGAAAGGAAGATCTAGCTTGCAATACGACGGATCTGGAGCTGACAGGTCGTCTCTCGGATATTTACTCAACCAATACTACCGACAGGAACAGCTGATTCGCGAAGGGACTACTAAATATTCCAATACAATGGACAGCTCACAGGCTACCAGTGAGCCATCTAATCAAAATACGAGGAAAGGCTTTCTATTTCGAGGTTGCATCGCATTCAGGTACGAGTCGAGAACCAGTTCGATAGGGACCGAGAGCTTCGCATCCCAGTCAAGACATCAGGAATGCTTCGCTTATAGCTTGACCTGAGTTTATCTGCAGGCATCGGGTTGAATCCTGCACAAATAGTCTCGCTGAATGACTCTCAAAAAGGAATCAACGCAACATGATGATCTCCACACAGCAGGGGTTCAAATCTCAAATAAATACGGATAGAACTACCTTACTTTATTAGGCCAGATTAATTCATACTAATCGAGTATACCCCTGGGGTATTGTCAGGGTCTGATCTCGTATTCAGCCGTGATTCGCTGTGGTGATCTGCAGACTAACCTGCAACACGAGAAAACCGAGAACGATGGCCTTGATGAGTTAAGCTTCAGAGCTTGTGTTCTCTTGGATGCTATTTTTAGATCTATTTTTAGAGCATGCCTTGCTGCTTCACACCTAGTGGCTTCCTCCTCCATGCGATGCCAGGAACACGAGCATTACGAGCCAGGCACCTGCAGTATCTCGACGCTTGTGCCTGCTCGTATCTTAGTCAATGTAACGCTTCTATACTTGGCTTCGGATACGACCTTCGGCCCCATCCCATGGACCCTGAATTTAGAAACACGAGAGTTCATGTTTGGACTCTATGGGAATACGAGATGTGCTCCTTCGGATCAACAGATCAACAGAGCTGAGCATCTCAGTGATCCAGGATGCAGCAGCAACAAGGGCTCAATGTCTATAAAAGGGACGATCTGCCCGTGCCAGAGTCCTCATCAACAACAACAACAGCAGCAACATCATCATCAAACCTCAATCAAAACACTCATTCCAAGGTCTCATCTTCTCTTCTCTTGCCAAAATGAAGTACCTCACCATCGCCGCTGCATCTCTCGCAGCTATCATTCCTTCCGTCAGCGCCTACCCCATCAACGGCGACAGCGTCCACTGCCGCTCCGGTCCCGGCACCGACCACCCTATTGTCAAGACTTACCCCAGAGGCCATGAGGTCTCCCTCGTCTGCCAAGCTCCCGGCACCGACGTCAACGGCGACTCGATCTGGGACAAGACCTCCGACGGCTGCTATGTCGCCGATTACTACGTCAAGACCGGTACCTCCGGCTACGTCACCAAGCACTGCGATGGCGGCAGTCCTCCCCCCAGCGGCGGTGGCTCCGGCAAGTCCATCGTCGATGCGGCCGAGAGGGAGAAGGGCCTCCCCTACGTCTGGGGCGGCGGTGGCTGCAACGGCCCCTCTGGCGGCGGCTTCGACTGCTCTGGCCTGACCCAGTTCGCCGTCTGCCAGGCCCTGAAGAAGACCATCCCCCGCACGGCGCAGACCCAGTACGACTCGAACATGGGCAAGCGTCTTCCTCGCTCCGAGGCCAAGGAGGGTGATTTGCTCTTCTGGGCTACCAATGGTGACTGCAAGAACCAGGTTTCCCACGTTGGTATCTTCATCCGCGACGGATGGATGATCAATGCTGCGCACACTGGTACTCCTGTCCGGGAACAGGCTATCTGGACTTCCTATGGTGGAGAGTCCATCTGCCCTTATGTCATGAGGTATGTCAGTTTCTTTGATACAGTGGATTCAAGCTAATAATTGTACAGATTCTGGTAAGAATTCATGGTGTTATAGCATTGGATACATTGCACAACCTGGCCGTTTTGTCGCCCTTCTGATTTCTCTTCACTTGTGCTATACAATTGTGGTTGACTACTCGTTACCTTTTCTTCGCCGCTGTACAAATCTTTTCGATTCTATATAGACGAACCAATTGGTCTTCTTTTATCTCAGTCCATCTATTATGATTGTCCTCTAGGGCCATCGGTTCGCAGTTGCTGGAATATATTTATTTATGCATTCTGGAACTTTGCAACAACATCACATACTAACCTTGTAAGGATTTTCGCTCAACATACTTCTTCAATACTAGTCGACTTTGTGCATACATAAATCAGTAGAGAAAATCTGTCTCGGACGATAAATTCCAATTGTCGGAATTCCATGCAGACCGTGGATCGTCCCATCATACACCACAAAACTGGACCCAAAAGTCCAAAACAGCTAAACAAGCTTCGAGTGAACCACGGTCTATACCTTCGGGACTTCCGGCTTTGTCCCGTGGAAACCACATAAAATGGATTAGATTCATATCAACCACCAAGACTTCCGTTGGGGGAATAACATTGACGTAAGTCCGCACTTCTGCAACATCTCCAATATCAAGCTATCTTCGAACAGTCAAGTCATTACCCATGCATTGCGACTGAATGGGTGGATGCGATGGCGGACGTAATTCTGAATATTCTGACATTAATCTGACATAGTTTGACATAATCTGAAATACATGAAATAATCGTCACTTTCCTTGGTATCGTACCAGCCCCTGAATATGAAATTCGGTTGTCTTGAGGATCCCATTCGGTGAACTAGGCTCGATCGTAATCAGCGCCTCGCTGTCACTGCTACGGCGCTTGGAACCCTTCGCTGAACCGACACAGGTCATGGGATATTCGACGTACTCTCGTCCTACGCTTGCAAAAGGCAGGTAGGGTTGAGGGTGACTCAATTTGCGGTCACTTGCTCCCAGCTCGTTGGGAGTTGATTTGGATTTGCTCCGCCTGCTGGCTATTCGACGCACAACGATGTTAAAAAGAGGCGTGAGTGCGGGAATGCAAGCCGCTAGAATAATGAGATATTGTTCGACTGCGACCCAGATCGTTAGAGTGAGTGTATCCCACGTATAATCAGCTTTAGCCGACAGCGCCGCCAGGTGCACAGTCTTGATAATAGCAGCCGCCATCGCGCTATTAGGATCGTCGTTAGAACACAGCATACAGGAAATAGAGGCTGGGAATTATGACTAACAAGATACCCAGCGAGAGCACGAAGCCGAGCCCGAATTTAACCTTGGTGGCCATCTGCAAATCCTTGATGGTAAAGAGAGGATATACCGCCAAAATTAAGTCGCTCAGTGCAGAGGCAGCTACAGCGTCTCCGGTTAGCAACATCCTAAAGACAAAGTCCGTCCGTGCAATACGTACAGCCCTGAAAAAAAGCGTAATCTCTCTGAGCCCCCGCTGGCCAGCAGGTGCCCTCGATTTCATTATTCCAAATTTTTGCAGTAGGTATGCACTGCCCGTAGATGCTGTAGACTCCACCGATATTAATGATAGACAGAAGGATCATCCCCGCATACATGGCTCGCTTATGTTGCTTCACCTCCGAAATAATGCGAACCAGAAAGAGGGCCACCGACACCTTGCCCCAATTTGTTGACATGACATGAAACCCCTGCGAAAGCAGTTGATACTTTACTGAAGCGATTTGTTGCTCGTGTGATAGATCATTCATGTGACGCCCAGTGCCATACATGATACTCAGAGATACCAGTACCGTATTGACAGTGGCACAGATCAATGCAAGCAGAATGAATGCATCGTCCCAGCCGCAGCTCCGAAGAATGCGCACACGTACCCAGAATCTGGCAGCGGTGACAACAACGCAGATGCCGAACAGCGGCCACGAGACCGCGTGGAGAATCCAGCCGCGGTCAGCGTCTGCCATCATCAAGAACTGCGGTGCAGGACATGGAGGTAGATAGTGTAGAAGTGAAGATCAATGGCCTGGGGGAGGGGCGGGTGGGTGGGGGGGAAGATAGATGCAGAAGGAGGAAATCGCGATGCCATCGTCGCCCATGACAAAAACTGACATCTTTGCACGATCTAATACGGAGTGGTCGGTAAAGATGTCCCTCTGAGCGAAGATCTTGCTGAGTTCAGGGGCAATGGCTGCAAAGTTTCTCTGCCGTTGTGATCTTCTCAGCCTTTGCCCAATTGGGTGATGACTTCGGGGAAAAACCACCCACTTGGGAAATGATTCTCACCGCGGTGGATCGGTCGAGAAATGGCTGTCTGATGTATCAGTTTAAAAAAGTGATTCAGGCAATAATGCAAGGGATCTATCTTCATTCTGTGATTCTTCTTAGATAGAGTTAGTGGTAAGTGGCCGTCAGTGTAACATTCTAGAGACATCCACAGATACCAACGCTGAGTGAATTGATCCTTCCTGGTCTCTTCTTAGACCAGATGGGAAAGTGGATACACTTGCTTCGTATTCCCTGTTATGGGGGGAACTATAAGAGAGCAGATATTATTGGCCAGCTATGCCGTTGACAGCGTTGATGCTTCCTCACTATGCAAATAATATGCAACGAAGATGATGGATCAGCCATGATTCGACATAGTAGTCTAGACCCCGGTAATAGATAATAATAATAAACAAGTCAAACTAGTCCTCCACCCTGTTTTGCATCAAACGACCCAAAAATGTGGCAAAGAGGTGTCTATCCTTTCTCAATCCGAGCACGTGGCCCCAGCGAATGGGGTCTGGCCAGGCGGTCCACCCAACCTTATTCCGCTTCCCAGACTAATATAAGGACGGAGTATTAGCGTCCTTTTCATCCCTAACTGTGTCTGCATTTTCTGCTTCTGGTATCATTGCCGTTACTGTCAGAATGAGGAAACATAACATCTGCGGTTTATTAGATCTAAGCTTCCCCAGAGTCGAAGTGTCCGAATAGTATTCAGCTGAGGCATCCTCACATTGAAAACAACAGTCTGCTATAGAATCTCTAGAGAACAATTTCAAAGATAGGATTGAGGGTAATGGAAGGATCTGCCTGCAAATCGACGATAGAGTGAGAAGCCTTCAATCTACTCCGTACTTGAGGCAAGATGGAAGCGCTATGTCATCCTCCTCAGGCTAAGTTTCAACCTGGACACGCCAGTTAAACGCTAAATGATTAAAAATACGCATTGCCGTTGCATTCAAGCCCTCAATATGTAGCCGAGAGCCCTGAGATGCAGCCCAGTTTCTCGGAGGATTACTGACCACCCCAATGCCAAGTAATCATCCGTAGGTTCTCCGCAAGACCATCTAATCGATTATGGATCTCATAGATTTGATCAAACGTCCATTCTTGTTTCCTAGAATAGCGGGCATGGTCTTCTCTCTGATGCTTGTCATCTCACATCAAAAATTAACTAGACTTGGCATTGGCTTGATCGCTACTGTCATGGAGGTCGTATGAGTGAATCGGATTTAAAGCGCACATTGCAGGACAATCATCACTTTCAGCGTGGAGGCTGTAGTCAACTCTCTAGGCAACTGCTGATTGCTTTTAGGCATGATATACACAAAATGACTGTCTGAAGCATGCGTCGTCCTGTGCCTCTCTCTTCACCTGCTTTCAAAGAAACTATTGATTTATTCTGCCAAGCTGTTGAGTAATCTCTATTATGCGGTTGAGTAATCTCTGTTTATTCTACCAGCTGTTCACAATATACATCCAAATGGTTTCCATCTCTCGAGGTGAGTTAAATTCTTGCTGGCCCTGCATCTCTCGCTCCTCACCGATCAAAACACCTTAAACTCCACAAACCTTCTTCTTTCTCGGGCATCCATCATGAAGGTCTCCCAGCTTATCCTCACCTCTTTTGCCGTCGCTGTCAGCAGCACAGCGGCTGTCAAAGTCGCCACCGGCGAGCAAAGCAACAACGGCGTGAACTACGCTGTTGTCTGGAAAGAGGGCGGGGAAGATCTGTGTCGTTTCAATCAGCTGCTTGCCCCCACCTCTGAGAACCCCTGCGACAGGAACTTCTGGATCGATAACGTGAATTGTGAGTCTGGGTCTTGCTCTGCTTTGATATATCCGACTTATATAGCATAGACCACCTCGCATACTGCGGCACCGATAACTTCGGCTTGTATAAGGCCGACGGCTCACGAGTTGGTGGATGCACGAGGGTACCTGACAAGAAGTTCAGCTGCATAGCACCTTGGCATGACGTTATCAAGCACTGGGTCTGCGGGAACTAAATGCTCCCTAACAGAGGCGTAAGTGATTCTCCTGTTTATGAAGACATTTCTGATAAGAATAGATCCCCGGCGGTTCTGCGCACGAGGATCTGCGGGTTGAGGACATTGCATAGGTTGTGATGTCCGCGCTGGAAGTCGGGATCTTCGAGCAGTTCTCTCACCAAGCTGTGCTAAGCTATGTAACTTATGGATCTTAGCGAGCGCCTGAATATTTGTCTTTCCATTATGATTTCTTAGACCATTTACGAGGATGGAGGCGGAGTATAGGTGTTAAACCTACCATCGGCAAGCCGGGCAGAAAAGCGAGCAATCAGAGAGAGATTAAGGTACCCTGTTTGTTCGGTCTGTCATAGAAGGTATTTCACCATCAGGGGAAGATGTGGTCCGGCAGACCTACATGTTCGCGGCTACACATGCTATCTAGTCTGATGTTCGTGGCACTGATTAACACAGGACGTATTACCTGAATATGGCCAATGAAATCCTGTCGAGGGACAGTTCAAAATCAGCAGACCTTCGATGCTCACAATCTTTTATTCGGGTAGCAAGGACATATGATTAGTGTGAAGACGAATAGATGACTTGATTAAGAATCTATCTGAGATGAAGCTATCGTACATGAGTAGAAAGGCGAGTGTAAAGCACTAAACCTATTGTGGAAACGTAGGCGAGAGAGTGTAGTATTCACAATTAGAAGTAGATGGTGTCAATCCTAGGCTGACTGAAAGTCTTAAGTACACGACTTGAATATCAACTCCATCCTTTGACCCAAATCTCTCGGAAGCATGATATCATATGCTCAGTACAGCAGGAAACAGGACTAAAAGGTAATACCACGTCCAACTCTTCGCCTCCGTCGCCCTGCCAACTAAAACCACGCTCATTTTCCTGTGTCAAAACAATTCGCCTCCACAAGCGACCACCAATGCGTTGTAAAGCCGGACCGGAGACCGGTAATGTTCAAGGCTCGATGATAAGGCCGCTCTGATCAGAGGCCGTGCTCAATATGGCACTTCATGGAATAGAATCCGCGGCCCCAGTTCGAAGCACAATTGTCTCCACCGTAGACAAGAGTGTGGGAGGCGCCATTACAGTGCGGCTGGACGTAAAAGGTGCAGACGCACTTTCCATTCGGAAACGTGCAGTCGGCGATATTTATGCTGTTTGAACCGTCCCATACGTAGTCGATGCAAGAATTACCGGTGCCGGGAGTGATCGAGGTCATGTATTTGGAGCAGCCGCCGTCGGAATAGTAGTTGACCTTGAGAGTAGCCGCGGTAGCAGCAGTAATGAAAGTGGCAAAGGCCCAAGGTGAAAGATGCATCTTGTGGAGGTGGAGGATCGCCTTGATAGTTATGAGAGAACGGAGTAGAAAAAGTCCTGATGGAGTGCTTTGATTGTGAGTGTTCCTTTGAATGTAGTAGGGAGATTTTACCCTTTATATGCTCATTCCAACCCTACTCTATATTAACGTCAGTATATCTCCTGAGTTCTTCAAGTATAGTCCTCCCCCATGTGTCAGCATTACTATAAGGCTCCCAGGTTGTGGTTGGGTAATATGATACCTGATATGGAGATAGTCGCATTTCTTAAGCATTATCAATGAGACATGCATGCTTGGACAAGTATTAGACCTAAGCATCGTTCAGTTTTATACATTAAATGGACGTATAATAAGGTTACCTCCCTTATTTCAATTTCAGTTATGCTTATCACCAAGGTAACCTTAGTCTTTGATGACAAAGTCTTAGTTAACAAGTATGTGAGCAATGTGGATCCTTTACTGACAGTAACAATGATCTCTCCTCTTTTGCTTCGTTCCTCTTGATCCATTGTTGGATTATTATCTTCAAGAGAATTCTTCTATCTGGAAAGGGGTATACTTGAAGTTTTATCACATCCACATCTTCACGTCCTGTAGACCACACCATGACCAATTAATCAATTGTCCTCGACTATCCGAAATGATACAATTGCTTGGGCCAGGCTGGACTGTACTTCTGGTACCGGGCACATTCGTCCATAGTGGAAACGCAAATGTCCAACGTAAATCGACGAATACGCTGCAAAAGGTGAGGACTTAGGATCGAATCTTGCCCAGTCCTCAGACAAGTCGGGCAGGGCTCTTACCTAGTGCGTGTAGGACTAACACTTGTTATCTAGTGTCTCAACTTTTCTAGTTTGAACTCAAGAGTGATCTTCCCAATTATTAGTACCTAAATATCAGGCCTTTGCGTATGTCCATCTACATCGTCTATTCTGTTGTACCTAGCACTTTCTTGGATCCTGTAGGCACTGTGATAGAAAGTACTCTCGGTTCCCGGCTATGGAGAAATAAGTTGTCGAGAGCTCACAATATCTATCGGGCGATATTGTTTCACAATTCGTCAACTCAATGCATTGAAGCAACAATCCTTAATGTCAAGGAGGTCGCGCCGAAGTGTCCCCAGTTTGCGGGACGGCCCGCGTACCTGTCTGCATTGTGGAGGATGCGGTTTTTTGGGAGAGACAGCCTCATGACTGCTGCTGAAGATATTCGCAGTCGACGAGAGGTGAGCAAGCGATATCTGTCAGGCATTCCCTGCTATGTACTTCCACATTCTTCTGTACGTCATGGTCAGCAAGGGGGACGATAATATCTCCGATATTATAGGACGGAGATGACGTACACTGTGTAACGACAGCTTCAAATATCGTCATTGTACGCACCAATTTTGAGTAAGATTTTATCTAACATCAGGGGATTTAGTATCCTGGAACTGTGCATCTGACGCGTGCAGGGTACGTCAATCAAGACTGCTACCGAGTATAAGCAGGTCGAGCGTTGAATTTCATTCCTTCGCACGGACTGCCACAAAGAAAACCAACGAGGTGGTACAACATAGTTCAAGAGGATATTCAAAAGATAGGGGTGTATAAAGGTCGGCGACAGACTGCTGGACTGACTAGGTTCCACAATTCATCTCCAGCAGCACCATTACACTCATAAACAAATCCAACAACATGAAAGAGAGCCTTCATCTTAGTACAATCAAGGGGAAGTTATGCGGTTCGAGTCAGGAACAGGAACAGGAATCCTCCTCTCCTCAAATTCTAGGCTTATACAACTTCCGAGACGCTGGAGGCTACGAGTTATCCGGCAACGAATCTGTGCGAAGAGGGTTTCTCTTCCGCTCAGCTAGCCTGAGAAACGTCTCCCAAGCTGGACTTGAAACCTTGCGAGATCACTTCGGTATCAGAAACATCTTCGACCTCTGTTCAGAGGAGGACTCCAATGAGACAATCACTGCCATCGAAGGCATTACCGTACAGCATATTCCCGCCATCAGTTGGGAAGAGAGCCGAAAAACACTCCTTAAACATTTCAACCGGCTTTCTCACGACGTAGTCGAAAGTTTCATGGTGATCTATGAGCATTACTCTACCGTGTCTGCGCCTGCGTACAGAGCCATATTTGCGCACATCCGGGACGGGTTCGACCTGCCACTTCTTGTTTACGATGACTTGGGGAAGGACCAGACGGGAGTCTTCATTGCAGTTGTCCTCAAGTTGCTGGGTGTCTCGGATGAGGATATCATCGAGGAGTACCACCGTTCCGAGGCGGAAATCGCGGGACTGATTCCTGAGAAGAGTGCGAGACTTCCTGGTCTTTCGATCTTTGATGGTCGTCCACCTGAGAACCTTGAGAAACACTTCTTGGCACCAAGAGAGGTCATGAGAGCTTTCCTGGTGTACCTTGACTTGACTTATGGTGGAGGTGAAGGATACTTGACGTATCTGGGATTTCTTGATGTCGAGATCGAACTCATCAAGAACAATCTTATTGAGAGCAAGTCTGTGTGAATCTTATCTCACGCTGAACAGTTCGGCGCCCCGGAGGCAAAGTGGAACTTTTGTCACAAACGCAACGTTGTGGAAAGGCCTTTTAAGATTTATAGAAGAAACTGAAGACCGCCACGTGATGCGATTGTCCTGTAACCTCAGATGTGGAGATTGACTGCCCTTTCCTGGCGCTGAGAGGAGGCTTTCATCGTCGTATAACGGGGTCGATGCTTCTGCAGCAATGACGCTAAAATCTGTCAATGGAGAGATTAAGAACATTGTATGTGCCGGGCATTGCTCTCCTTGATGAAGGCACAGGGTGAAAGGTTGTGAAGCGGTCGGTTCGAGGCAGCCTTATCGATGGTGACATGGAGTTGGAAGACGAAGATCATCATCGTCAGTAACCAATGTCCAAGCTTTGCCGGCACATTGACTATGGGGTGTCACAGAGGGTCCTTATTGCCATTACGTTGCGGTAAGGCCGCGTTTCAATAGCGTCATGCGCAGATGAAATGTCCTTGTGTACAACCTGGCCAGTATCGGGGCGGTTTCTGCGTTTCGACCGCTGTCTTCCATCTGCGACCGAAGGTCGAATCTCATCCGGCGGAGCATTGCTGCGAATGAGATTGAGGAGTTGAGAGACTTTTACGTCCTCATCGTCGCGAATGATGTCGAGTAGGCGCACGAGAAGATCGCGGTCCTGTTCAAGTTCGGTAAGCTTTCGCTTCAGGGATGTCTGCCGGCGACCATCTTTGTCTTCCTCTCTCAGACATTCCGTCTGGTATTTCACGCAGTTTTCGCATGGAGGTCCGCCCTGACACTATTTCAACAGGTTAGCAGGAACAGAATTAACTCTACTGTCTATTAAACACATACTTTTGTTTTCCGATGCCTGCACGCCGAACATGACAAGGACGCGTTACGACGAGTTCGAATTGATCCCAACGTGCGTTTCGCCGTCAATGTTTGGCCATCTGAGCTCATTGCTGGAGCCAATGAACGGACCTTGAAGGGATCCGACATTGTGGATAGAATATGGGTAGATCATAAAAAAGGGTGAGTATCCTCAAGAGGTATCGGTTTCTGAATAGCAAAAGACACTCGACGGACGCGGAGGCAACATAAGAACTAATAACCCGCCTTTTAACTGGGCGAACGCTATGACAGTCATATCTCGTAAATCCCTCATTGAGCACTATGGGGACTAAAAGTCATTGGTTGTTACGTATCTACTACCTAGTTTTCATGCTGCCGATCTCAGTTGTCAGCTCCAAGTTTTGAGGATGACTGACGCAATGATCTGCGATCCATAACCCAAGAGGGTGATGCATCGGATTTTTCATCCATCCACCTAATGCCATCTGGAGCTGCTAGGGGTGTTGGTTTCAAGCAATCTATCAATCTACCTCTTCCATCCAGGTTGGGGCGAGATGCGGCAAGTACAGTCACACATCCGCCACATTGCCACGATGATATATCCCGTTTCTGATTGCATCTCCATCTTTGAAATCACAAGTCCCAAAACGCAGGCACTCCATCTGCCCATATGGACTACGCATTAACTTCTCACAAATTCAACTCATACATGCTGTTTCTTGGTTATCCTAGCTAATCTAAGGCGCAATGTCCCTACCACCGAGGCGAAAGCAGACAAGAGCCTGTGTCGCATGCCGGGAGAGAAAGCAAAAGGTAATTGCAAGTCCTCTGACTCAGGCGCTGAGGATTATCAGTTAGTGATCAAAATGATAGCCCCATATCAGCTTCTGTTGACTTGCTTGAAGCCATGACTGACCAGACACAGTGTGACAGTGGACGGCCTTGTGCACGCTGTTTCGAAAATGGAATGGAATGCATTGTTGACGAAAGCAATGATCTACGACGAAAAGGGGCTCTGAAGCGCAAGGCAGCAATGATGGAACAAGACCAAGAGCTTCTAATCCAGCTCGTGAGCGCTCTTCGCGGTAGCAATGAACGCCATGTCTCTCACCTTGTGAATATGATTCGGAGTCATGCTTCACTACAAGAAATTCGCGAGTATATAACGGACCATCTGGAACTGGGTACAATCGAAGACACGCCCGAGGTAAAGGAGTTCCGGCGTCAAATTCGTCTTCTTCTTGACTTGGAAGGGCCAGCGTTGGAGTCACGGAATACACAGCGGGTCGCTCACTCTCGTTCTTTCAACGTTCCCGCGAAGCCATGGACGGCGATCCAGTGCAGCACCGCATTTGTTTCAGAGCTCGTGTCGCTGTGGTTTACTTGGAATCATTCCATGTTTCCGTGTATCGACCGCAGCCTATTTCTACGAGACATGCGGGCAGGAAATGTGGTATGTCAGTACTGCTCACCCTTCTTGGTGAACGCCATATTAGCCGACGCTTGCGTGAGTGATCCGTTGATTTTCTCCGTGGTTCGATGATCCTTATGACGGGAACCGTAGGCACTACTGGACGATTCTCACTCCGAAAACGGAAGCTACATAAACAACAGATCTCATTCTCTGGCTAAATGCTTTTATCAGCAAGCACAGAGGCTCTACGAGGAGGAGCGACTCACCTTGACCACTATTCAAGGATTAGCCGTTCTATGGAGATGGTAACGAGAACGATAATCTGTTATCCTCGCCCGCAATTTCTCTGTTTAGACTTGTCTGCGTCTAACCGTCTAACCTTTGATAGCACGTGTACGTTCGGTGACAACCATTTAGCTCGAGTGTATGAGAATCGAATAGTGGACGCGTTACACAACTTCTCCTCTTCTAACCCATCTGCTTCGCCAAAGCCCGGGAGAAATGAACAAGAGTATGACAATGTTTGTAACATAGCAATTTGGGGGGTGTACAATATTCTATTGTGAGTGTGGGATGATTGAGCACTCTCACGTCAGACCGGGTGGTTCTAAATCATTGGCAATAACGTCCAGGGCAAATCTGATCCCATACCAACGCCGACCACTGATTGGGATTCCGCAACGTGCGCGGCCGCTCATGCTCCACGTTGAAGGTCTCGCGGGCGAGCATTGGGCTCCATATCCGAATTCCCAGCCAGCTACTACGAGCCATGAATCATGCTTGAGCAATTGCCTCTGTGACTTGACTCTCATTGTCAATGACATATGCCGATTGCTCTGCCGAGATCGGAAAGACCTCTCACCCGACGCTGTAAATCAAAGTGTTGAAGCCTCGTTCAAGCGCCTTGAAGCTTGGAAGGCCCATGTACCGTCCTGCATGCGACCGGGTGATACCGAGAGGCCTTCCCCGCAGGTCCTCGGCACCCAGTAAGTTTATCAATCGAACCCTTAACGATGCTTCGTGTCACTCATTGAGTATAGCATATACTACCACGCAATCATCATCACACTGTACGGCTTTTTGCAAAAATCCACGGGAAGTGTACGAACGAGCAATACTAGTGCCCCCTCAAATGCAAGAGCCCGAGCCATACGCCTTGAAGCGGCGGGTGAAGTAGCTCGGCTAGTTGAACTTCGTCGACGACTATGGGGTTTGGACCGTATTTCTGCGCCCCTCAGCCAGTGGATAACGATCTCGCTGCTCACTCTGCTGGAGGACCTGTCTACACCAGAGAGCAAAGAGGCGTTTGTCAGCCTTTGTGTTGCGCTGCGTGTATCAGCTCGGCGATGGGAGCACTCCAAGGGTCTCCTCCGGCTCACGCAGCATCTCGCATCTCAGTCATGTTTGACTTTACCCCCGGAAACCATCCCACTATATAGGGACTTTCAGGATTTGAAATGGGGCCCAGAAGATGATGAGAAATTCGGTGCACTGGCTCAAAGCTTTTGGGTGTAATTCAGTGTGAATAATGCGGACTGGATCTCAGACCTGTATCGTCAGCGATTATCAAACTCAGATTATCCGTTACTTCATAACTTCTCAAAGCTAACAGTCTCCGGATGAGCCACTGTTCATTCCTTTTGCAGATTATTTTCTACAATCTTGTAGGTCAATCTCCATGTAAGCCGGAGCTAGGCGAAGAGCCCCATTTAGCCTATATACCTATCCAGGACCATTCTGATGAAGAGGCCCCACAAGAAAGCTTCGACCAGTGAACCCCTGGGTATTCGAGTCGGACTCTGTAACATTGCCGGATCACCAAAGACAAGCCAGGCTAACATATTACCCCTCAATCCTCTCCACCACACACGCAGTCCCATACGCACACACCTGCGAACAAGCCCCCATGCTCGAGACATCGAACCTCATCGCCACGATTGCATTTCCGCCGCGGCCCATACATTCTCCAACCAGTCGCTCGACGGCCTCATTCCGCGACGTATACATCAGATTGGTGAATGGACGGAGTTCGCCGCCCACAGACGAGCGCACGATCGCGCCGAGATCAGTGCCCCAGTTGCGGGTTCGGACGGTGAGGCCGTAGACTGTTCCGAGGACTTTGGTGATTTTGTAGCCGGGGAGGTCGTTGGTCGTGGTGGTGATAACACCGTGGGTGTCGGTGAAGCAGGAGGGGGTGTTGTCTTGGGGTTTAGATGAAGGCATAGTATATAGTGAGAGATTGCTTGAGTATATACAGTAAAATATTTTTGGTTCGGTCAAGTCAAAGATTTGGCTTTTATCTTTATTCTGGATGAGTTATTTTGTCAAGGAAAATCGCGCATATAAAGGGATGATCCGCCTCGTATTCACATTAACCCAGACAACAATAGGATAGTGAAGCAGATCTCCTGACTAACGCTAGCAGTGAATCAAACTCATTTGTGACAAGTCAAATTATTCACTAAAGCTTGACCCTTACTGGGAGTGGATGTACCACTTCTGCTCTCATCTGGTKGTCTTGATTCTCTCAACCAGCAATATCCAATTTCTTTCAATGTACTCTACCTTTGCGGACTGGATAGTTGCATAACGACAGAGCAGGGTCTAAAGAAAAGATTCCAGAGACTTCTCCTCCTTTAATAAAGTGAGACATGCGTTGATAACCCATGTTGCTGAAGAACCCAGCTATATATCTCCGCGCTTGTATCTTCTGCTACACCATCTCAGACTACGCCTTCTTCCCCTTGACCAGGTGGCTAGCATCGACCACAAAAGATGCCATGACACAGCTGGCGAATAAACGCCGGCGCTGCCAAACTCGGCGGTTTCTGCGAAGCCACGCCCAACGCAGGGAAGATGTGGTCCTCAGCAGCCTAGAGCCTAATGGAACTGCTCCCTGCTGTCGGAGCCCTCATGGCTGAGCTGCGCACTATCAAGAACAAGCTCCGAAGCCCATATCAGTGGTTGGAGGAGGGGTTCCCACCTGCGGACACATCTCTTCCTCCGTCGCACCTCTCCTATGACGATCGAACTACAGTCAATACTAGGAGCGATCCGCAATAGCCACCAAATAGGCCTTTGACGAGATCCCGTGGGCTGCTGCGGCGAGGTTTGACTTCAAATTAATTGGAGGATATGGATTTCTTGATTAACACTCGTATGTTACGTCCTGTTTAGGTTCTTGCATAACTAACCGAGTTCTCTAGGATTCGACTCATTCGCAGCTCCATACAGTCTGTCCTTCAAGGAACCCGATCTCTACATCAAGCCGCAGTGGTCCCCTCTGCCTATCATTTCTTCAAAGTAGGATATTCAGAATCATACCCGTGTCTACTCCCGGACAAAGATCTCTGAATGATTGGCGCAGCCGCGCACGTCAAAGTCCTCGTCATTGTGAAATGCAATAAGCCAAGCTCGGATAAAAGGCCGAATTGAGATTTGGCGTGAACCAGTAAGGACTTGGTTGTCGATATAATGACGCCTCATCTCACTGGATTGACACTGTGTTAAATCGATTGGATACCGTATCAGGCTCGACAAGAAGAGACGTCGGCTGGAACGATCCCGCTGCGAAGGCGCTCCCCGTGAACACTCCCCTTGCAGAGGAACGACTCACGTCGGTTGTGCCAAAGATAATCTGATCTTCGGAAGACCTAGGCAGAGAGACGTTAGATGTACCCGCGCGCAGAGACATGATCACATCATCACAGGAGGAACCGAGTCCAGTTATACGTATTCCCAATTATCTTGCTATCTTTGAGATCATATGGAAAGCTACCAAGATAATTCGACCTCGCAAGTCCGACGGAGTACGAGCGAATTCCAACACAGCGGTACCACCTACTGGACTTACTATGACAGGTCAAAGTCTGGGAGCCACATGTTTGACGTCTGACTATTGTTCCCTGTCCTAGTCCCCTTGCACGCTTTCGCTTCAATGTCAAGAACATCAACATGAGGTCCAGGGAGGTATTCTTTGGGAAAAACTGGAGCGATGACCTTTGGTGAGTATCTGCTACCCGCGATATGATCCTGCAGAATATCTATTTTCTATGCTTGTCGAAGCCAAGGGACACGTCCGTTGCAGCGAGGACCAGTCGCACTGCTTCTCCTAGAACGGCATCCATCTCATTAATAACAGGCATGGGCAAGAGGCATGCGAAGTATTTGCAAGCTGAAGAATGAGGTTCTCCCACACTACCTTCGCTCACGAACAGTAAGCTGTCATTGAAGAAAGATCGAACATGCTGTCCCTAACAGGATTGTTTTTCAAGTGTCTTACTGGCGACCAATACCTGCCACCCTCAATCCGGACTTCGAATACCTGCAGCAACTCGGTGATGAGAATATCAGTACTCCAAGGAGCGCTAGTCAAGCCCAACTCTCTGATCAATGACTACCATGTGACTTTCTTGAACCAACCACATCACAAACTACAAAATCGTGTAAGTTATCGCTCTTCTCTCTATAACTGCCCTAGTCTTTACTGATTGATTAATATTAACTAATTCTTTATTAGCACATCATGGTAGTACCACAAAACTCCAGAACTTACCGTGCGACGTTTGAATAAATCTCCCAAGATCTCCGTGGAATCTTCATCCGCAGAAAGTGCGAGCAGAAGCATACTCTGTATCTCCTGGGTGTTACGTTCAAGGAAGAGCGAGTGCTTTTACGGGATATTGCGGTCGACGGCAACTACTTCATGATCGGGTTTTTTCATCTGTTTGGGCCTGTACATTTTCCTCCACTCGCCAGTCTTTGTGGAAGGGTTCCGCAAGGCACCTAGGTACTGAGTTCAGATATTGACTACCTCGACTATATCACAAGAACAAGGACAGTAACTAACTCACGCCTATTACAGTAGCCCCATTACGAACAACTACAAGTACTATTGCAAAGACATGAGCGACTGCTTTTACCGCTGATGCTCCATTGGTTGTCCTTGGATTTGCAGAGGCATCACTGAATACGTTCGACACATCTGTCCTTCTAAGCTATACGCGAGACATGGCTGCTATGGTCCAATCCATAGATACCAATCTGCCTCGTTGTTTAAGCCGTGATCTTCTGGATCCCCGCCCCCGCGAGCGTTTGCCTAGGGCTCAATGGGATGCTCCGCCGCCCACCGCGGGTGACGCTGCCATCTGGGAGTCAGCCCAGATGGTAGAGTTGCCCCCGGACGCTTGGTTCCTCGCGCGCACACACGAACCCTGCGGTTGTCCCGGACTCCTACCCTGGACAGGGACGCAACCCCTGTCCCGCCGCGAGCGTGCATGGGTTGCAAGGCCTGTGCTCTCCCTGGTCTTGTGGGCTGGCTACGGCAGCCCCAGACAGTTGGCTGTGCGCGCCCAATCGTGACTAGAGGTGGACCTCTTAACCCGCGACCTCTTCGAACTCTTACTGCAGAGCAGAGAGGGCTATTGCGCGGGAAATACGACGAAGCAAGGAGGAAAAACATCGTAGGGAAGAAGATAAGAGGTTTTATACGAAATGACCGATATTGCCCTCTAAAGCCAAGTCCATGTCACCCAGAGCTCTGTCAACAATCACGACCAAACTCGCAAGACTGGCAGCTTTGATCATGGAGAAACTGAAACCGGACAAACTCTCCCAAACTTGGTCGGCACCCTGAGTCCGAGAGCGTTCGCCGTTACAACAGCCCCGGCTGCTGTAAGTTATCAAGCGAATCCCTATGATAAAACCACGGTTCCAGATTCCGAACGCAATGGATGATGGATATACCATTGTCCACATTGCGTTGCTTGTCATTGTCCATACCACCTCCTCACGATGTACCAAACAAGTCGTACCCTTAATTCTCATCGTGGGACATATTTTCAGTTGTGTCTTCTAGGCCACGCGCTTTCGGGACAAGGCATAGGGCTTTTCTGATCAATGTCCTGTGACCGCGAACCTCCTTTGAATGGAGGGGTTTGCGTTCCCACAATCCAAGTTGATGGATATACTGGGTGGGTGTCCAGTACTACTGAACTGGACCAGTGCCATGGTAGTTGTGTTCAATGCAAAGACAGGGTGCTTGTGTGAACCTTTTTATGGCAAGGATGGCTCCTACACCACCAGGCCGCAAAAGTCAACACAAAATCACTTCATACAGACCGACAGTCTTCCGCTGGGAGGATCGCGGGCTCTAACTTCATCAGGTATTGCCACCTGGTAAAGACTCTACCCATTACCCCCTTATTGCATTCTTCATCATGTTGAAGTTTGCAAAAAATGTTCGCGTTCTCGAGATAGTTGATGGACATCAATACGACATTGCCCAGATAAGGCATTTCTGCCAGTCCAGCTTCGCAATGTTGTGCAAAGCTCATCGTGCACGACAGACCCAATTGGTCGAGAGTGTTGCAGTGCAGCTGGGCTGAGGATCGGGAGTCCCGCCTTGGTGCCTCTAGAGGGGATTCCGTGGTTGATGGAGGAATGGGATCCTGCCTGACCATGTTGGACTGGGCTTATATGGGATTATATGGGATTATGAGGTCTCCATTGCTGCAGCTGGCCAATTAGTCACAGGCTTGGACTCCTAGCATCTAAGCTGCCGGGGCGAGGAGCACGCCTTTTGTAGTGGGAAGATGTATCCCCTCCGCAACTTCTGATGCTTATGCCATCCAGTGCTATTCCCAGGAAACGTTACCAGCAAATGACAGGGGTAAAAGCGAAGAAAAGGCTGCTTGGGCCCAGTGCCCGACAGCATCTTCTATAACTGGGGATGCGGCGGTCATGCAGATGAAGATGACGAAGACAATGGTGAGCCATATAATAGTAGTCATGGCCCAGTGCCCGAACTGCAATGCTCCTTTTGCTGATGATGCGCAACCTATCGAAGTTGCTTTTCACGATACTACCAACAATCCAAACCCTAGCCACGATCCATTCTGGATCGAGGCTTTTTACCAACCCGGCATGAGCTACCAGTTTGTTGTGGCCCAGGCTATACAAGTTGCCCGTGCTACCTTCGGTCAGGAGCCAGTGGCGACTGAAATCCAGGTCATCGCAGATGACTTTCAATGGACAGCTGAGCTGAATCACCCAGTGGTTATCCAGGGCGTGGAAATTTCACTGTCTATATCTTCTTCACTTTTGTCGCACCAGTCAGGGGAATCTAGAGGAAGGGGATTCATGTACTTAAAGTCCGGACCTTAAGGACTAAGGTTCCTGTTTTCTGTTTGCAGATCCAGACTGGGATGTCTGTAGAGCATGAATAAGATCATAATATCATCATAAGTTCATTCTACACAGGTACCTGAGCTAAAGATGACGCGAATTCTAATGAGGTAGATACGGAATGACAAAATCAATCATTATCAACAGACAGTTGGAAATATCATTCCGCAGACGACCTTCCGACGCCTTATTCGAGAGATAGTTGATGATATCCTCCCGGATACGAGCTTCAGAATAACCAGAACTGCGATTGATGCTCTTCAGGAGATCGCGGAGCAAATTTAACAAATGTGTTCAGAAGTAAGTAACAGTTTTAAGTAAGAGTAAGCTTTACTATGTACGACGAAGACTGATGATCGACCGAACATTCAAGCTGGCTCTAAGGGAAAATGACGAAGCGACCTGGGAGGAGGCCAAGGACCAGCTGCAAAGGTATATTGGAGTCATGGTGGCTCAGCACTCCTGGCCTCATGCTCAGTGCGGGATCATCACTGTTGACAGACATATCGAGTTCTATTGCTGGGCGTTAGTGAATTTCCACCTTAGCCCTACGCAAAGGAGCGATGTATGAACTGATGAGAGGTTGCCGTCGTGCACGTCAACCTTTGATGGAGATCAGAAATGAGCACCTCGGTTGAGAGGTAGTTGAGTAGTGAGATATCTTCGTCCCTAAGCAGTCGTCTTAAGCAGCTTCGAATTCATCCCATGTTGGAAGCTGAAAACACGAACTCGTGTGGAAACAAGGAAGCAATGGCACACTCAATCCTTCTGAATATTGAGTATTCCATCAACTGCTGGTCCTTGTAGATGATGAACTGCCATACCTCAGTATATTGAGAAATTTTTCTCAATCCTGAGTTTGACACTGCGCAGACTTTTTAATTGATGACGAATTTGTTTGAGGATCTCAATGTCACAATGCTAGGGCATGACGGATTCATACTATTGCCGAAAGTTCATTCTGAATTCGCACGACGCATGAAGCCTCGGTGACTGGCCAGAGTCATCACAGTCCTCAGGTTCAGCGTTATAACGACCTGTCAGTGAAACTTGCTAAACGCAGCGGATTCTCCGTCTTCCTGGCTTTGGCTATTTCGTGATACATTCCCCTAATATCTGTTTCGTAGAGGATCCTATTCTGTTCCGTGTGCCCATAATCCTTCCACAGCCACGCGGAGCTCTACAAGGTGAGTTGCAGAGTCGCTGAAGCCCACTAACTGCTGCTGGATAGACGAATCTCGGGGTTCTTGCGATTGGAAACGCCCATTGCAGGAAAACATGAGCTTGGGTCATCAGCAGAACATTTGGCAACTCCAAAATAGTCAAATTTGCATCCTTCTGAGTCTTAGAGTGAGCCCAAGTTTGCAGGCTGCGCCCTTTTCCACGGTTTCAGATTGCACGAACATCCTTCCCAAAGTCTTTCTTCGGTCATGTACGGAGTAACGGTGGCACCTTCATCCTGACTGGATCCCCGGGGGGGTGAAGGATAGAGGCTTCGCAGGAGCGATCAGCAGAACGAACTAGAGGTGGAATGATCCCGGCAATAGGGGTCAGGACGGAGTAGCGTGGGCATAAATCCTTCACTGCTGTCTCAAATAGTATTTTCCATGCTTTTAGGCCCAACCCTCTCCAGGACGGCTTTCTCAAGCTCCATTAAGCCTGTGTTCAGATCAAAAGTAGTTCATAGGGGACAAGGACGTCTCCACCAAGAGTGCGTAATGCCTTCACAAAAGAGCCGTTTCAATCTCTCCATTGGCCGTCCATTGGGGCCATTACCGCTCCTGATGAACTTCTCTTCCAGTGGGGGACATCTGAAGGTTAGTACCAATACTTTCAAGCCTAGTATGAACATCCTTTGACTTTCTCACCCAAGAGGACTTAGGCTGCTCCTTCGCACCGACGATCAACGAAGGAAAGGAGTCCAACAGCCCGCACTACCGCTTTTGGAACTAATCGACCTCGAGACGAGACCAGATCTACAAGACTTCAACATCCATCGAACAACTAACTTAGGCTAAAAATAATTGGCTTCCACCAGCAAGTCGGAAACTCACGAACACTCACTTTACCGCGCCCAAAAGGTAAACCGGGAAAACGGCCATTTCTCTGCACGGCCAAACTCTCCACCTTTCTCCATTCGAAGCGGGATCCAGATTCATCCGGCGATTAACCGGGATCTAGGGCCTAGGCCGTTCACCGCCGATTTGAGTCACTGAGGGCTGTCGGAAATCTTGATCCTGCTGGAGAGAAACGCATGGAAACGCGACAGAGTCATGGTGGTTCACGTCGTAGACGGTCGGAGGTTGATGGCTTGGATTGAATTATGGAAGTGGTTGGTATATGGTTGGAACTCACAGAACAAGATTACGGAGTATTCGTTTCCGCCATCATCGCTGCCGTTGGAATCAGCCGCCACGTGTCTTGGTCTCTTGGATCGCAATCCTTCCTAAGGGTACGGAGGACAACCGAACACATTGCACTCGAGAGTGGCAGAAACTGGATGGCAGACTGTCGGAGAAAGATGGTTTTAGTTTGCTCATTCCATTATTATTATTATTGAATTCGAAAATGGATATTGATACGATAGCTTGGAAAAGTCGGTAGTTTCTCTATCAACGGCAAATGACACCTATCCCAAGCTCAGAGACCCTACACGTGGAATAAACCCAGCGGAGAGAGCGCTTCACCGAAATCCCCCCACTCCGTAGATATCTATCTACTCCATTCTTTGCCATATCAGTCAGGTCAAGCGAGCCTTCATCTTCAATGTAGATAGATAAAAATCGCCATCCCACTCCACCGTCGGTAACCGTCTCCATCATCCAACCCCACTTCGCTCTTGAGCACAATGAAAAGAACGTCTAGAAATGTTCTGGAACATCCGGACCCCTGCTCTCAGCTCCACAATGCACATACGATCCCTGCCAGCTAAACGACGGATGCTTGAAGCCGGTGAGATAGTAGAACAAACGGCGTTTCAAATCATCCACTAGTTCATATCCGTCGGACGCTTACGCAGTTACGCTTCACCCCGGTTGGGGTTACATGGTGGTTCGAGATGTGCTTTATTTGAGCCAACCACGCCTCAAGTGTCCTTAATAATAATGGTGTGGTAGTGGTCGTATTACTTCATAGATATTCATGTTAGATATTTACTGAGATCGAAGCATCCAGAA